ACCACGCCTTGCCGTCAGTGGTGAAGATTCCATTGCCCAGCATGGGAAAGAAGTTTCCCCGGCGCGCCTCTCCCAGCTCGAAATCGTTGAATTGAGTCGCAAGGAGAGCTTGGACATTCTTTGGATCCGACGTCACATAGCCGTAACTTCCAAGCATGTTTTGACTCCATGTCGCCCTCTTACCGGCTTTGTCGTTGTACACTTCTAAGAAGTAATTCGGGACGACGTGGTTCTTATCAGCGTCCAACACCTCCTTCACCAGGTCGATGCCCAGTGGCAAGCGGTACGGCCGTTCCCATGCTGGCTGGCATCCGAGTTCTCGGGCCTTCCTGGCGTGATACCGGTTGGAAAGAATAGACGCGATGATGAAGTAGACCACCGAAACGCCGACCAGCCCCAAGCCTGCGCTCAGATACGGGTTCATCTTGAGACCGGAATGGAGGCGACAGAAGGCCTTCTGGGTGTTGCTTTGTCAAGTCGACGGGATATCGCAGGGGATTAAGAAGGAACAAAAGAGGATGAGAAGGTCAACGTGTAAAAGGTGCATGCGATGCGATGCGAGGTGGATTCCCCTAGATAGATCGCTAGGCTAAATACTTTCCCACTCAGGGCTTTCCAGAAGATGAAATATTGTTCGAGAAGGGCAACCGGGTTTCGGTTGCAGCGATGCTTCTGGTAGCGGATCTGCTCAGCCTTAATATATACGTCTCACCGGCCATAACGTACTGCTCAAACGAGAGAGTCGGCCTTTTCCATCCCTCCGTCGCTCCAAGCCGAGGATGCATCTGTGGTTCGAGGAGTGCGAGCAATTCTGGCCTCACACAATTGTTCCGAGACCCCAGCGATTGAAGGAAGGGGGCGAATGGTAACTAGGCAGCCTTAATGAGACCACGCCAATTGGTACGCTGGGTCGCGCAGGACCCTGCCAGGATTACTTAGCGTGATACCCGGAACTGGTCTGGATGCCTGACGCTGCACAGCAGTTGGTGGCGCTGAGAAAGGACTCGACCCCGCAAATGTCCAGAGCAAAAAGGTAGATGGTACGAGTAAGTCATCCACCGTCCGGCCGAGCCGGGTTATGCGTTAGGTGTGGGTGAGAAAGGTAACCGCCTAGTAACTCGTAAGGGGTCATCGGGTTCGCGACGCTGCTGAACGTGCTATGGAATGCATTTGATTGGGGGTTGATGAGTCAGTAGCATCAATCTTCCCGAGCTTGAATGCAATATGAACGCATTTTCTGCCTGTAGCAGTACGAGCTACGAGGTACGTGGCTCTGAGCTCTGGTTTGGGATCTCCACCTCGGCAAAGCTGGGAAGGGATACGGAATACGCCTGGATACGAGGTTAGGTGGAGGTCAGACGCGTACAAGAGAATACCTATCGAGGGCTGAACTCGTCGCTGTAGCCATCATCACGGCCAAGGTTTCCAAACAGGCGATCCGAGACAATCCCTGATAGCACAGGGACTTTTCGTGCTGTGTTTGGCCAGGCCAGTCATGCTTCCAGGAAGGGTAGTGAGAGATTGACTCGAGTCGCAACTTCTACCATTTTCGGCACCTCGACGCACGCTGCGATTAGACGATAACATTTCAGCTTGAAAGGGATCGAACAGATTTCCAGCATGGACAGTCGTAGGGATGCTGGCGGAGTAAAGGTCACCAAGGATGACATCGCGGTTGCAGTTCTCATCAGCGCACCGTGAGAGGAAGTCAGCTTCGGAAAGGATTCGGGTCTCTGGATCGGGAATCCATGAGCACCGACCCAGCTTCTCGAACATCACACACACATGATGGGACAAGACAGTCAGAAAAATGCCCATAGGCTCAATTGGGTAATGGGGTATCCGATTATTCATTGTTTGCCTGTGGCTTGTTTTTGTCACATAATGTACACCTTTTTGCACATAGAGAAATGCTGCGGAAGTGGAGCGGCTATGGAAAGTGCAAGCGAGAAGTGCTGGAACTACTATCGTGGCGGTAAGTGGAATGGAATCACTCCTTGACGAAGTTCTCGAGATCTGTCGAAACGAATTAGCACGATCACAGCTGTGGCCACGGGATATTGCACCAACCTTCGAGCCACTTAACATATTCTTTCTGCTCCTTGTAGTCCATATATTCGGGTAGGAAGCTGGCGAGCTCCTCGTCAATACCTCTCTCTTCGAGGTACTGTTGAAGCATCTGCTGGAGCTCGGGGTCAAGCTCATCGACAGGCGGGCCCGCGTACAGGCTCCGAGCTTCTGATGCGTCCTTGGTGCTCTGCGCCTCCAGCAGCGACTCCTTGGGGAAGAAACTGAGGTTCTCGATCTCAATGGTGCCGTCTTGGGCAACAGCTCGTATCTCAATCGCCTTGTTGCCGGGCTTGGTGATCGTGATGGTGAGTTGAGCAGGGTAAGCAGGAGAGGGTTGTTCATCCTCGGCTTCTTCCCCCTCAGCTCGATCAACGGGCGCAATGCTGTCCTCGGGGAGAACGTCGACCTTTCCTCCTCTTGCGCCAGACTGGTTGGCGGTTTTTCTTCCTGCACCAAAATCCTCGTCTGACAGCGCCCCATCTTCGTCTATGGCATCGAAGTCGTCTTCAGCTGGGTATTCGGAGATGTCGGATACGCTCAACTTGATTTTGATCCTATTTGCTGTTAGTCTCGATCTCGCAGTCCGTGGGAGGGGTGACCGCACTTCTCATTGCCGAAATCTCTCGTGAGGACAATCTCGTGTGAGCCTGGCTTGTCATGTAGCTTGAAGGGGCTGTTCTCGAGGAATTCGTCGATGATGGCTTGCTTGTCATCTGTCTGCGACTGCAGCTCGAGCTGTCGCTCGTTATTCAGTTTTGCGATCAACGCCTCGTCCGCTGCGAACATGTCAGCAATGTTTCTAACTCGGGTTGACAGCCGTACATTGACCTGCGGGTTCTCTCCTAGCAACAGAGGTCGAGAACGCAGGGTACGACCATTTCGATGCCGTCTGCCACTGCGGCCGGCGAGGTGCGAACTTTGAGATGGATGATATGGAGCGAACCGCAGGCTGGCGAGATAAAGCTTTGGGCAAGGCCCGGCCGAGAACTCTGAGCGAAAGCATCTTTAGAGGCAAACAAACAAAGGCAGGGGAGATGAAGATGAGAGAAGGACTGGTGGATGAAAGATACTGCAATCGCAGGAGATGGACAGCCGGTCTCGAAAGTTTCCCAAATAATTCTTGGAAGCGAGTCAACATATCACGTGAGCACACTCACTACGAGTCATGTTGAAGTGTGGAGCCACAAGATGCCGAGGCGATGCTCGAGGTAATGTCCACGGTCATCGTCCCACAATGCCATAATATTACGCTGCCATTAATCTAGTTTGGATACCATGCTCCGGGATGTTCGCTCCTTGATATCCGGGTATGGGACCGGCAATCTTCAGCTGGGTTAACCGCGAGCTATCTAGATCGTGCAAAAGCCTTCCAAAATCTCAGCTGCTGTTCCGACAGTAGGATTCTTCAACCTTCAATACTGCCGATACAGCGTGCAAATTAGCAGTCGATGTATCCCATACGCTTCCAGAACGACTATAGTGTTTTCTATTTTCGGCCTTCGCTCGTGTCAGGCGCATCTGGACACTCAGTCGAACGTCAAGGATGTCCTAGCAATATCAGATGCTCCTTGACAACTGTTCCCGGCTTCAGTTGAGGCACGACTTGTAGTGACTCTTGGCTCCTCATATTCATGTGTTCGTGTCATGCGATGCACATGACGCATGCATCGTCTGTCGGCGACTGAACGAGGTAGAGGAACAAAGCCTCGCCGAGCTGGAGGGGTCCTCGACAATTGGGCCAAGGAGGGGCTCGTAGCGATGTCGGATGACTACCATACCTCTCATATCGAGAGAGAGTCGCCTCCACAGAGATGGCGTAGTGAATCCGAAACTTCCGTGGAATCCCTGGATTTCAGGAGTTGGCCTTTGGCGGAAAGTTCGACGGCTTTATACCACCCCCCTTAACGACACGAACGAAGTCGAGCGTGTTCAAGCCGCCCCATTCTCCCGCCCACCGTTCGACTTTCGACCGGCTCTCCTGACTTCGGAGCTCGGGAACCCAGAAACCAGCGCGAAACTCACGGTCTTCAGCTTCCTTGCGCTGGGATATTCGCTCTTCGGCTTTTGTGGGTGGTCTCCCCGGCCTTCGTTCTGCTTTGGCTTCAGCCAACTCGTCGTCTTCGCGATCCACAAAACTGAAGTGATTGTGAGATGCATTTCCGATTACGAGTCACTTCCCATACCTTTGGGTCAAAACGTGCATCTCGTCGTCTGAAAGTGGGCCCGAGGACCCTTCCAGTGCTGTTTTGAACCATGCCACTCTATCCACTACCGGAGAAAGATGTCAACATCGATCCAACTAATCCGTTACCGTGACACTTACCATAGACATGATTTGCTTTCACGGCTGCATCCATGAGCCGAGCCAACTTTTCCTCTCTTGCACCAGCACGGCGTAGCCGCTTTGCATCCCGACTGTTCTCATGGAGGGCATCGGGTTTACCACCTCGTTTCTTGGAGATTTGTTTTTGGACTTTGTTCAAAGCTCGTGCCATGGTGGTGGTGGCAGAATCGGTCTCTACCTAGTTAGACAGTTCATCGAGCTGCGACCAAAAAAAGTTGGACGCCCCGGCTGAATCTCGGGTGGGCATGTGGCTCAGCGCCTCGGTGGCTTAGTGGCTGGTGAGCAAAATGCAGGCGCGCAGGCGCCAATCGAGGACTGAGTGGATCCCCCGCAACGCGTCGCGCATTGAGTGGGCGCTTGCTGCAAGTCAGCTCCAGGTATGCATCGCATTGCACTCGCCCACTGAAGTACTGATACCACCATTACATTCGCATAAACACAATCGATGGCTCTGCGTCCTTCACTCGCGCCTATACCGTCGCTCGCTATCGCCGTGCCTGGATCTGGTCCTCTGTCTTCGATGTTACGCTGCATAAGTTGGTCGCATATTGTAAACAGGCGGTGAGAGGCAGCGGCAAAGGCCGCCATGGGCATCAAAGGTGTGTACTCTGCATCTGGACATGCATTTGTGCCATGGATATTGACACGCTCAGGCTTGTTGCCTTTGCTGAAATCGATTCACAAGCATTCCACACTCAAGAAGTTCTCTGGACAGACTATTGGAGTTGATGCCTATGGATGGCTGCACCGAGGCGTGGTGGGCTGTGCGTTCGCCCTTGCCATGGACAAACCCACCACGATTCACATCGATTTCGTGCTAAGCCGAGTGCGCATGCTCATCGACTTCGGTGTCACCCCATACCTGGTATTCGATGGGGACAATCTACCCAGCAAAGCCGGCACAAACGCTGCGAGGCGGAAAAAGAGGGAAGAAAGCAGAGCGCTGGGCCTGGAATTGCACAAGGCTGGGAAGACCACTCAAGCCCAGCAAGAACTACAGAAAGCCATCGACGTTACACCACTTATGGCTCGCCAGCTCATCGAGGAACTGAAGAAGCTCAATGTTCAGTACATTGTCGCGCCGTACGAAGCCGATGCCCAGCTGGTTTACTTAGAGCAGAAGGGCATAATCGATGGCATTCTGGCTGAGGACTCCGACATGCTTGTATTCGGCGCGAAACGGCTTCTGACCAAGCTAAATCAATACGGAGAACTGGTTGAAATTGAGCGAGCCGACTTCGCCATGTGCAAGGAGATTAGTCTTGCCGGCTGGACCGATACGATGTTTCGACGAATGGCGATCCTCAGTGGTTGCGACTATCTACCTAACATTGGGAAACTCGGTTTAAAGACCGCCCATGGCCTTGTCCGCAAGTATAACGACGTGGAGAAAATCCTGCGTATTGTTCAACTGGAAGGCAAAATGATCGTCCCGACTGGCTACTTGGAAGACTATAGGGATGCAGAACTGACATTTCTACACCACCGTGTCTTTTGCCCAACGACACAAAAGGTGGTACACCTAAATGAGCTTCCCCCAGGAATGTCCGATGCGGACATGCCGTTTCTGGGGCCGTACGTCGACCCTGAAACGGCACTCGGTGTTGCCTGTGGTGACCTCGACCCGTTCACGAAGAGACCTTTGCAGGTCAACAAGTCGCTTGCTCGTCCAGCTCTAGGAGACCGAAGAAGACAAAGTTATGCAGCCGCGGCAGATCTGAAGCCGAAGAAATCGATAGAGACATTTTTCCAGCCATATCGTCAGCCTCTGGCGGAGCTGGACCCCAACAGCTTGACGCCGTCTCCTTCACAGCAACGAGTATTCGAACGCAACCGAAATGCTTCGTGGGAGCCAAGACTGGTCAACTCGGCTCCTGCTTTGCGGCGTAATGCAACAGTCGTAGTTCCGCCATCGGCCCCTGCGGACCGGGCCAGTTTCTTGGTTAGAGCTGCGACAATGTCGACATACCAGCCACCGAAACGACAACGTCTGTGTTCAGACTCGACAGAGCCTTCGCCAACCCAAGAGTTGAAGCAGAGCCCGTTCTTCCCGGCCAAGGGCGGAGAGGCAAGCCCCTTGGCACAAAAGATGCCTAAGAACAGGAGAAGCCAAAAATCAAAGTTTGAGGTCTTCGCGGACGATAACAGGGGAATGCTGCTTGGACCTGAGGTCCAGCAGGCCGCCAGTCCCCACAGGGATGTGCCTCGCAAGTCTTCCGTCAAAGTAAAACCACCACTGTCTCAAGAACATGATTCGCAGGTATCAGTGCCACAATCGTCTCCAATCGCCAAATCGCCAAAGCAGCCAATGTTAGCACCATCGGTGAGCATGACCCCATCACACAACAGCGCCGCATTGAAAGAGATCGACCAAGACGACGATCCCGATGGATTTGAGGATCTCCTGGAATATCACATTCGAAAACAAAATCAAGGGTTGACAAAGGCGAAGCTAAAGGGGTCGTTAATGGAGACTTTTGGTCTTCAAACGCAGCACCGGCGAGACCGATCTCTACAGTCTCTACAGTCACTACCAGCTATAGAGCCTGGACAACAGACATATGACCGCGCATGTGACGAAGTACAGATAAGTGCGCTCAAGGAATTGCCCCAAGCTGGTGATGTTGAATCACTTCGCGCTAGGGAGAGCCGGACCAATACATGGGATCGTTCACCACCCAGGGTTCAGCAGGCGGCGTTGGAGTCGCTCAAAAGACGAACTGCACCAGCACCAGCACCACACCTACGAAGTGGACCCATTGGCGACCGGCGAATAAGTGCCCAAGCAGAGGGCCACAACTCGGCACCAGGTATTGTGCGTGGTAGTGAGGATGCTTTGGTGCCCAACAGCGAGGATGAGAGCTCAGACGTGGGCTCGCCGAAACCCAAGTTTGACCTCAGTGTATTCTCATTTGTATCGGCGTGACTGATTGGGTTCTAGAGTTAGCGTCGTTCTGTGTGGTGTTTGATTGATCTTTAGCGGAGCATTGTCTTGCGATGTGGAAGGTTTTCATTGGTTGCCTAGAGACTCACCCGAGGCGTTGGGCGAGCGTGACAAGATAAAATATTGATGACCATTGGTTAAGGGCAATCAGGTGTAATACCTCATGTGGATTGAGGGCCAGAGTAACACCATGATACCAGCTGTTGGACATTCGTAGGCGCATGAGAATGACTTCCACCGAAGCGACCGACCACAACCAGCTAATTAGATCTCCTACGTGCACGTGACGCTTGGCGTAGGAAGAGCGACGGCGGCTAGCGTCAACGTCATTGTTTGGCTCTAACCTGATTGGGGCTTCGTGCAGCCTTCCTCGCCCAGCCTTGCCGAGTTTCGTCCACCGCAGTTTTCCTGCCACCACATTAATTTCTAACAATTCACTCACACATCAGCCCAGCCTCACGGATTCCAGCATGGCAGATCCGTAAAGCCCAATCATAGCGACAGCGATCCCAGTCTCGAATATCTCAAGGACTAAATCAAGCTACGCCTCTCTCTCCTCCCTCTTCCCTCTCTTTACATACAACCTACTCATCTGTCTGCCGGAAGCAAGACCCAGACAGCTAACCATTCTATTTCTTCAGGGCGATTGACATCCGCGAAGTACCACGAGTCCCGTCGTACCCGACATTGTTGATACCACACCCTCTCACTCTTCTACGCTCCGACCATCACCCCGGGTTGCATTGACCACGTCTTGAACCGGGCCAAGTGCCAAAACCTGTACTCGTGCTGAGCTTCAACACGGAAATCCGTCCTCACGGACGGCAACAACACCACTCACACACTACACCTGGAGGCCGTTGACCTTGACAAGACACCGACACAATGGCCCTACGATTCAAGACAGGATGGAGGAGATTTGTTCCCTTTATAGGATATCACCATGTCCTCATGATATTCATAGCCATCGCTATCATCCTGTTATGTGAGTCCAGCACCCACGCCTCTCGACCGTCTCTGCCAATACTGACCGACTCTATCCAGCACTTCTACTCGCAGGCTGCTCCTCAACCTCCCCTCTGATCCCGGACATCTACCTAATCTCGCTCTACTACCAACAATACCCACCCGTCTTCTCGAGCGTGCAAGTCGATCCCTCCGTCACCACGGCCATCGCAAACATCGTCGCCGGCGCAGATCTCAACGTCCGTGTCGGCTACTTCGGCATCTGCATCCGCGTCGACCGCGGCGCCTGGATGTGCAATCAAAACTCCACCGCACTGGCTGACTTGGTTTCTGTGGATCAAGACCCGCTCAATCTGATATGGGTGGCCAGCACCTTCAAGAACGCCATTGTGTTTCCCTACCTGCTCATCATCGCCGTGGTATTGGCATTCCTCACGTTTGTGCTCCTCGCGACGTTTCCTGGTTGGCATACCAGCACCGGACCCGATGGCTCGGAGCACGAAGTCCGACCATTTCCCTCGAGAGCTGTCTCCCAGGTGGCATTGGCAACGATATTCATCTCCTCGGTGTTTGTGCTTGTCAGCGTCATGTGGCAGCACACTGCGGCTGTGGCGGCGAGTACGGTTGCACAAGACCTAGGGAACGGGAGTGTCAAGTCCGGCGTCGGCACGGCGGCCATGGTGCTCGGCTGGTTTGGCTTTGGACTGCTCGTTGTCGTGACCTTAGGGTTGCTGGTGATGATATTGAGCATTCAGTTATTGGATCGGTTGACAGACGAGGTATGATTTTTCCCCGTGGAAAAGCCACAGAGTTCTGGAGAGGATGAAAACTAACATCTGAACAGGACTAAGAGATCATGTACCAAAAGAAGAACGAAGCGGACGAAAGCGATGTTAATATGTTTCACGGCGAACCGAAAAGAATGCGAAATCGACATTGATGCGAACGGACGGGGTTCAGGTTGGACATATGTACATGCCATGCACGGCAGGCAGGCGGCGTTCTTGGATATAGACCTCCACACGACTCAGCGACATTTTCTTGCATTACACGGCGGGATGGGACCCGGCCTGGGACCTCAAAAACGGAAAGACCCAATCACATGGATTGGATGCTTGCACATCGGGTGATAGAGATATGAACTAAGTGGGCGTGAAAGATTGCCATATCTGGTTGCCAGGGAAAGCAAGACATAAGCCGAGTTGAGTTGAGTTGACCTGAGTTCGAGTCGAGCTGAGACGTGACATGAGAAGACAAGATGAGATGAGACGAGACGATATAGCCTGCTCTTGCCAGCAACCCTAGTTGGGACGCATAGAATGAGAATCAATCTGCAGGCTCCCATACCTGACGCAGGAGGGAGTAAATATGCAAGTACGGGAGTACTTTATGGATAGGAGTGAATCGAATGTGTCAGTGGTCCAGCCACGAAATCCCAATGCCATGCAAGACAGAGACGACAAGACAGCGGAAGCACGGAGTATAAGCAATGCTTCAGACGCGCGAGCGGTCAATACACGTGCGTACGGAGTACCTTATGGAGGACTCTATAAGTTGCGGAGTACAGTATGACCCTTGTACAGTGTACAGTGTACGATCTACGGTGTACGCTCTACAACACCTCGTGGGTAGTGAACGGTGTACCTAGGTAGTACTTCGTACCTAGGTAGTATACATTCATACGCCGCCCCTGAGTGAATCCATACATTTATCGATCCCGATCCATCCTATATATACTGTGCGCTTTCTCGGCTTCTGATACGAGGTGCTGCACAAATGCATAGTACGGAGTATCCTTGACTTTACTCATGTTACCTACGTAGTGCTTTCGGCGTGAGTGGGAAGTAATTAAGGCCCACTCACTATTCTTCGTCGTCAGCTTTCTCACATACGGTGTTCCTGTTCGGACGCAATAGAAAGAACCAGAAAGTACTCCTTACTGCGTAGTCCGTGCTCTCTCCTCCGTACGGGGTACATAGGGGATAAATGCACGAAATATACATTGATGGACCCAGAGTGCTTGGTGCTTGTTGCTTGGTGTTTGGTACTAGGTAGTCAATACTTAAGCTGTTCGTACGGAGGAATTCGGGGGACATAGACACAACAGGCAAACAGACATGCACTGATGATTAGATTCAGAAGGTCAGAGAGTCAGAAGTCCTAGGACCAGAGGACCATTTACTCATAGGGTCATAAAGGCATAGAGTCATAAGGTTATAGAGTCATAAAGTCGTAAAGGCATATGGTTAGACTCATAAAGCCGTGATGAGGTCGTTGTGTCATGACCACAGGTCTGAGTCTACTCCCTCCAATACCACACAATATATAGCCCCACACTCCGTATCTCAGCCGTCAATCCCATGCCCTGGCCTTTGCATACAAGCTCTGCAGCGAGGCGGGAAACCCGCTGATCGGCACCGGCGCCGCCGAGTCCCTGAACCGCACAGCTACAAGCAGGGATTTGGTCCCTGAAGGCTCGGTGAAGTGGACGGGGACGCGAAACGGGCAGCCGAATTGTAGAACTTGCTCTTTGGTGGTCGTGAACGCCAAGATCTCAGTCCAAGGCTCGTGCTGCACGGATGGCGAAATCGAGATGCCTCTCGAGGAGGCGGAGAGCTTCGTCCAGAACAGCCCCGTCACTCGATGGAGAAGACGACTCAACTCGCCGCTGTCGTGGCGAAGGCGTGTCCGGATCGTGCCTTGGATCTCCGTGGCCTCAATTCCGTGCTGGGTGCTCGTTGGTGTGGGCGTAGGAGTCGTGGGGCTCAAAGGTGCTTCTGCGTCCGGCTCGAAGTAGAACAGACTCGCCAGCAGAGCGGATGTAACGTGGCCGAGTCGAGCTCTCCATGCTGGCTCCTTCATCTGACGCTGCACCATGGCCTCCAGCTGATTCATCTTCTGCCATTGATAGAGAGTGACCTTCTGAAGGTCCTCGTCGATTGGAGGATTGAGTCGGTGCAGGCGATCCCGTATACCATCGGTGGCGCCGCTCGACCGGAAATTCTCCCATTGATTCTCAGAGTCTAGCTGTCGGTGGAAAGTCTTGCAAATCTCGGCGAAACCTCCGATGCGAATCGCCTTCGGGATTTTGACTTCGGACTCCTGGATCCCCGTTCCCAGCGAGACCAGGACGTCGAGCGACGGTGTGTTCTCTGGCCAGATCTTCTTGACTTCCTCAACAGCGCCCGGAGCTGGACAGTTCATATGCAGAGCCCCGTCAAAGTACACGCTGCCGGTCTCCGTCTTTTTAAATGGGGGCAGGTAGAATGGAGCGGCTGACGTTGCGAGGCCAGCCTCCCAGATCTTCATGCCCCTACCTTCATCGTCTTCACGGTCAAAGTCATTACTCGATCCTAGCGTAGCCCTGTTGTAACTGGTGATGAGATGGGCTCTTTTGCCGAATTCTTTCGTCGTCACCACCGCAACTCTCGTCGAGCATTGATGATGCCGAGTGCGCGCGGAACTGAATAAGCTGGTGTGGGCGCCAAAAAACCGCTCGAGCCCTGCTTGCAAGGGATTCGAATCAAACAGCGCTTGATATAGGCCGACCGACATGACCACACTGGTCACAAAGTGGCCGAGGCCCAGTCGGTCCAAAAGTCTTCCAGCACGGGGATGGAGAAATGTGGTGGAAGCAAAAGACTTGAAAGCCTTGGTGAGCAGACTGGTCTGCGTGTTGGCATCTTTGTCTCCCATGGAGATAGCTAGGCCGACTATCCCTCCTATGCAGAATGTCAGTTGGCAGAGCCTCAAATCCGAGGCATCATGGCTTCGCACTCACCAGTACTTGTGCCCACCACGAGGTCGAAATAGTCGCGAAAGGGGATTCCAAGGCCTAGCTTGTTCTCGATCTCCTGAATAAGAGCAAGCTCAATGATGCCGCGGATTCCGCCGCCGTCGAGAGTCAGGATTCGAACACCAGAGCAGCATGGCGTTCCTCTGATCAAGTGCGAGTAGTTGTCTCCCGTGCGTCTGCCACAAAGAGAGCAAACCTCGAATGTCCAAGCAGATTCGAAGGACTCGGATGGTTTTCCCAACTCGCGCACGCATCGGACACAGTAGCCATGCCCGCAATGCAGGACATTCTCTGGCACTGCTTGCAAGCACGCCAGACAAGTCGTGTTGCTTGTCATGTCGAGCCAGTGTGACCAGTACTTCTGCATGACTGCTTCCCGAACGCGTTTGATTTTATCTGGGAGAGGCTTCCCCATCGAACGTCGTCCAGTCCGGTCTTCGATCACCACAGTATTGTAATGCTCCAGGAACTTGCCACGGATCACACCCACCAAATTCGGGTCTAATACTTGTCTGAGGACGAACGGTCCGTAGGCTTGCTTGTTGTTAGGCGAGAGATGCAGTTGTTGATGAGCTATCACAGGACCGTTGATGCAATGGTCACTGTTCGCAAACTTATAGCCACACTGCTGGTATTTCGCTTCGAATTCCTTGATCGCAGAATGACATTGCTCCGCCAATGAAACGTCGTTCTCGTCCTCTGCTGACACGGAATCGAAGATGTGTTCGGGGTCCGCCACTGGTGACAGAGGTCAGACAAATGGAGGGACCAGGCAGTGAAGGGGTCTGTTACCTTGGTGGAGGGTTCTCATAGCCCACACCACAAGATTCAGGGCTATGATGTCGGGTATCATGGCTCTAATTTCCCGAAAATATGTTGTATTCAAGGCGAGTCGGAGAAAGTTGGCAATGTGGTTGAGAAATGAACGGGGATGGGGCCTGTTTATCCTGACCACTTGGTTGAAGTTGAATGGTTTGTCGCTGGTTCGGAAATGCTCAAAGGCCGCAAAGAGCATCTGGGAGAAGGAAGCGACATCATATCTCATCCACACCTGCGACCGCATGCTTACCGCTCGTCGAGACGCCTCGTCAATCAGCGTTCGCAAGCCCAGATACTGAGTGAACACCGTCTCGTCGCGGTATTCTTCGACGTCATCGACGCGTGGGATGCAAAAGCAAAGGGTTCGGTCGAACAAGACATCGTACAGATCTCGGTTGTCATAGACATGCTTGCTATACTTGTCCTGCCGGCTGTTGTAGTCGTTGACGAAGGGCTCCAGTATGCCGGATCTTTTCCACAGATTCACTGTCTGCCGGTCCAGATAGAGTCTTTCCAGTGACTCAGTATCAATGATCTGCTGACGCTGCCCAATGGCTCCGTTCCGGACGATGATAAGAGTCTTCCGCGAAGGATAGTTGACAGAATGTAGTACTGCTGTTGCCGCCCACTCGAGCGCGCTCATAAGGAGGCTCGTGATGTTCTGGTCCTCGTTGGTGACAAAGACGACGACATCACTGATGGAGTAGAGAAATCGGGCATAGTATGACTCTGCTCGTCCCTGTCCGTCCTGAGTGGACATATTTGCTGTTACCGGTGCTTTGTACAGGAGATTGGCCTCCATAGCATCGTCTTCGGCAGGCGTAATGCCTCGGCCACTGGTCAGGCGCTCGGCATTCGTCTGGGCAGCGCCAGTAAAGAATCCTTCACAATCTGCGAACAGAGTATAGCCGGCTGGGCTGGACGGAGGCCCACACAGGCCTTTCTCGTCCTTATAAAGATGGACGCCAAACGTGGTCGGGTCTGCGAGATGATCGACATGTCCCGATCTTGTAACAGGCAACGGTCCTTGGGCAGAGCTGATGTTCTTGAAGGCCGCCATGCGGCTCTGATTTGACGCCAGCACAGAGACGTCCTCGGTGTCTACCTGCTGCGCATCGATACTTCCCAACAGCAGCATCGCTCTTACCAGCGTGCTCTTCCCTACGCCTGATTTTCCAATGAAGGATACGATTGTCGGGAAGGTGCTCGACGCATCGGCGCCGTCACCAGCAGGAAGATCACATAACGGCCCGAATCGGTCATAGACATGGAGGTAAGGCTGGGAATTGTGGTGGCGGATATTAAACCATCGCGTCCTGGCGTTCTCTTCGTGTAGCTTCTGCAGTCGTCTTGGTTCGTCCTCTGATCGCATTACGTCTTGGACAAAAAAGTGCTGCGTAGACATGCCCAATGCAACGTGTGACGATGCGTCGCTCTGGCTCCGTGGGAGATGGTCGTTCCAGCAAGTCCCATGCCACTGGCAGTCCTTGGTGTTACAGGCTTCAGTGTGGCAGTAGATGGAGTAGTAGTCCCGACAGTGCTTGCTCTTCGAGCACCGAGCAGCCCATCTCCAAGGGATAGTTCGGGTACAGCGACATTTGCATACCGATACTTCGTCCTGAGCATGTCAGCCTTGCAACCAAACGCACCCTCAATCAGGGAAGGTTGTCACCATGATAATCATTCATCAGTAATGAGATGAACTGCCTCCCGGCTTGGCTTACAAACAACTGTCTCCGACGAATGCCGTGTCTTTAGCATATGCTGTCCGATGTGTATCTTGGAGGCGCTCCTCAATTGGAGAGCGACAAGAATCAGATCGTGTTGAACAGGCTGTGTCCTGGGCGGACTTTGCTTGTCCATGAGGCGCTTTGAGGCGGCTGCCTCGCACTGTGTATCTGATACACTGTTCCATGGCTGTGCCTCCGCCAAGCGACAATATTGCGAACCTCGGCGGCGATCTGAGGCCGGGCCGCGACCAAGCGAGGAAGGCAACACGGCTGCATAACGGCGAATGCGGCTCTGCCCAAAAGGCAGACATTTCGTCTCGGCATTGATTGTGGGTGTGTTCGATGCGGCTGCCGGTGGCTGGCTGAAGCCAAGCTGATAGTATCCGCCGCCTTTCGTAACCGTTCGATCATTGGTCTCAGGCTTCATGGAGAGGAACTTTCGACTTCGTCCGGAATACTGTAGCCCAGTACTGTAATCACAACGAGCGCCCAGGCCCCTGCACGCGCCCGCAAAGCACCATTCGCCGCAAAGATCTCTGGCACTTTGACACCAGAGGTTCAGACGCATCGAAGCTGTCTGCCTTGCCCTGCTGCCAACGGGAATAATGGGCTTCGCGTAAAATTGCCAATCCAGCGTCCTGCGTCAGGCAGAATCGCGATCAAGCCTTGTTTATCACCATTTCCATCACATTCTAGTCCGAAGGAGGTTAGCGAAGATACTCCCCATCTCTTGCAAATGCCCCCTCTCTTTCTCCGTATTACTCCGTACACCCCTGTCCTGTAGTGGTACCTCTCATGTTGCACCTTTTGAGGCTGAAGAAATACGAGGAAGCCTTTCCTCACCGGTTACGCCGGGCGCCTCTGGTCAGAGACAAGACAAGCACCCCAATACCCCGGTCCTGCCGCTGCTGGTTGTGCAGCAATGTCTCAGCCAATTGTCCGTGCACATTTCAGTCAGAAAAGGCCATTCTGTTGCAATCTTGCTATGACCTAGACTTCCTTGAACGCATTTCTGCGTTTGAATTGAGGCAGTGCTTCGTAGTTATCCGGGCAAGGGTCGCCGCCATCGCCAGTGTAACGGGAAGTTTTGGCGCCGCACCAGAGCTCCACAATCCTGAGTAAGATCAGAATCGTGAAGGTCATGGTGAATGCGTAACAGAGGCACGCCGTTATATCCACAGCCTGATCGCTACGAAGGGTCAGCGTATGATCGTCTGAGCACAGCGGATGTCCTTACCGAAAGCGAGCACCCATCGTTCGGTCCACGAGTCGACTGTACCCGTCGAGGCCAGTGGTTGCATTGCTAGGACGACCGTTGTCAGCTTCTCATCTCTTTCCAGGTTGATTCGCTCAGGGCATACTTCGCAAAGAAGGCCGTGAGTAACATCCCCGTAGCTCCACCACCAGCGTGCACAGCGAATACGGACAGCCTATCCTCGCGCAACAGAAACGTGTTGAAGATCATTCTCAGGATCTTGCACACAACGGCCCCGACAACGCCGAATATAGAAGCGTACTTCACAGGAACCTGCGTTTGTCAGCCGGGACTGAGTCAAGGAGAGCCTTCAGTGAATACTCACATATCCTGCGGCGGGTGTAATGGCCACCAACCCAGCAATCACACCGTCACAAAACTCCTGCATGGACGGTGTGTGAAACAACTTGGCAGGATCTACAGCCATTCTGTCCAAGCGACTGAGGCCCCATTGAAGAAGTAATCCGACTGTACCTCCTGCGCAGGCTGCGGTCTGAGTCGCGAGACAGGCAGACACTGCACGCAGATTCGCACCGAGGGCTGAGCCCCCATTGAAGCCAAACCATCCTATCCAGAGCAAGGCGGTGCCGAGGACCATGTGATTGATACTGTAAGGTAATTGTGCTTGTTGGATTTCCAGGTCGCTTTCTGGCGACGGTGTGGAAGGTTGTTGCTGTGGGGTTGGCACTATCCCATGGAAGCCTGAGGCTGTCTCCGGAGGAGTCGCTGTTAGTTCCACTTCGGTGCCGCGAGGCAAGGGCGAGAAGGAGATCCATCTCCAGATCCTCCAGGTCTTTACGTCAAGCTTTACCATCCGATTTCCAAAGGTGACTGAGGCAGTCCAGTTTCGAGCTTCAATTTGTGCGAAGACGGCAAACGCAGCCACTGACGAGCCCGAACAGACGTGGACGGCCGTGCCACCGGCGAAATCCATGGCGCCCCTCAATTTTGACCACCCTTGGGGATGCCACGTCCATCTTGCTACCGGGCAGTAGACAAGAGTCACCCAGAGGGTGATGAAGAGGAGGAATCGGCCGACCCGCATCTTGCCCGCTGCTCCACCAGCCACCAAGCTTGCGCTGCAAAAGAAGCATGAGTCCGTGGACAGAACGCCAAGCGAATGGGTACTTACGTGAAACATGCAAACATGCCTTGGTAGAAGACGTATACCATTTCGGGGATCTTGGGTCCTGTCATGGAATTCGAATCGGGTCCCTGGATGCCCACGGGTCGAGCGGTAATGTCGAGATAAGCATTTGCCTTCATATCTCCGCCGTACCATGAAACTCCGGCAAAGGTGTCGTTGCTGAATGTTGCCGGTGAAAAGGCCAAGCTGTAACCCCAGGTGTACCACTGGTTGACTGTCAGTCACCTGCTGTGTGCTTCTGCCCTTCTGTACTCACAATGCATCCCACAACAGCCGTGGTAATCAGCGGTAGCCGCACCAGCGTAAGCGTCGTTTGCGGCCTTGATATGCCTGAGAAGTGAAGACAAAGACCGGCGATCATGAGAAGCACGAGAACAGACGAAATCATCATCCAGCCCACGTCGGCGCCCTACTAACCAGTTAGAAGCAAACATCAACCCTCCAGGAACTGTCAGGACACTTTCCTCAAAGTAGAGCTCAGGACTGGATCTCAACTCTGCATAAGTGGCAGTCACGTTCTTCTGAGGGGCGGCAGGCACAGGCCCGAAGGTGAAGACCTCGTCCGTCGCCATTGTTCAATGCGTGGGTGAGCGTCCGGTGGTAATTGTCTGTAGTTGAGAACAGGTTGGGCTCTTGAGGAGATAGTCAAATATGAAGCCATGAACGAACTCGCTCCGAAGAGAAGGCTGCCTTTAGCACGCCTTCTTGGAGACGATGCCTGCACCTTGCTCTGGGGTGTTCGGCTGGGGCCATTGCATGGGCTGCATGCCGAAGAGGGATAGTCGTGTCTCGCTTGGTCCGCATTGGTCGCGTGGCTTGCAGGGTTGCCAAAAGGCGGCTAGCGACCACCACTAGCCAGTCAAACGGTCCTGCAACCCAGCCTCCGAATCCATGGCATGAGCCTCGGCGCGTGGAGAGGTTGAAGAGGCAAGGTCGTCCCCCGGAGCGATACTCGATGGCCCGCGAGCGCCCATTCGGCCTCGAAGCCTCAAGCAGTGATAACGCCAAAAGCCCGGTGGGTGAGACATTCGATTGCAAAAATACCGTACCTCAAGAGTCTGCTCTGCCACTGTCGGTTGTAAAGTCGATGTTGGTGACGTCGGCTTTGGGGCCCTTTGGCCACTTCCACGCTCGTGTTATCAAAGAAGGCGTTCACCAAAGGCACGGAGGAGGCGGTTGACGCCTTGCAGCACAATCCTGGCGTTTTATCCTGGTGCATGTCCCACCAATTACAAGCCGTGGCCAAATCCTGTAGGTCAACGTTCGGGAACCTCACGAGTTCGCCTTCATCCCATGGCAATAGCTCACCGCAGCAGCGCGCAGATCTGTGAAGCCACCAACATCTCTGATCAATTCATCGCGCTGCATCCATTTGCTCATATCAGTGTTAGATTGTCCATAGGACATCGCTGCTCTCCTTGATATTGTCGACGGATATAACCAAGATGAACCTTCAAAATGGTGTCGCACACCTTGCTCAGGAACCTCAACTGTATAGGTTCGGAAATGAACCATGGACCCACGGAGTAGCTCATTCCTTTGAGGTTGAACTGGCAGCCTTTGACGGAAACGAACCTTCCGAGGTGACCAAATGCATCAGAGTCATCCAACATGTTCAGTCAGACCAGGGGAGACTGGATAGATTCCGAGTACATTCTCCAAGACTTTACCATCGCCTCCTTCACGAAGAGGCGGCTCAGTTGCTTCCCCGTCCAGAAACTGGCATGACTGCGGCGTCGCTGCGTTTCGTCATCCGACTTGTATCCGGAACGATCGACCTCCAAGGCAACAGACAAAGACAGAGTTCTGAATTTCTCATCTGGCTGGCACAAATCTGCATCACGCTGTGGAGGTACGACTGCAGTAGACAGTTGTTGGTGAATCTGGAACAGTGCGCCCATGACTTCATATGTAACGACAATTTTGAACCCTCGGAAAATGACGCGGCGTATCTTGCGATCGTCGCATTTGTTCTTGGTGGACGCATGGACGACAAGCTGTACGAGTATGTCGATGCTGTAGTATGGCGCTCTAGGGCCGACTTTGCAGCCGTGATATCACCCTTGCGAAGACTGATCATTCGTAAGTTTTGATCATTTGGTCACCGCCGCTGACGCCCGCTGACCCCGGATAGGCGAGCGGCAGGCATTGCTGGAAGTTATTTTCAATCGATTTCCCCAGATCCTAACCAGTCTGGCGTACAGCGATGACGTCCGGATGAAATCTCTGGGAGAGGCACTGCATAAAAGCTTCCAGAATTTCACAGACCTGCAGGTGGACTTTGGCAAGCCGTACGCCCACTCTCACCATCTCAACTGCGCGAGATACCCGGAGATCCTCCAGACAAAGCTATTCGCCGCGCTAAACGCAGAGCGCAAAAGGTTGACGGACAGAACACCGAGTATTGCGTCAAGCCACTCAGACACGAGCGTCAAACCAGTCAAACAAGAGAATGGACCACGATTGGGAGGGGGACTCCCCGCGATCAAAAAGTTCACTAGGACGGTCACCGGGATGAAGCAAGAGCCTCCTCCGCCAGCAGAGAGGCCCGCCGACCGCTTGCTTGCTATCATCACGGAATCAAAGGTAATAATAGGCAATAGAAGGAAGCGGATCGCAGACGCGGTGAAGGACTTGATAGAAGACAGAGACGATAGATGTGATAAAGGCATAGGGCGCCCTTCTACCGAAGAGGGTCAGATTGAGATCCAGGTCCTGGTCCAACGGAAGGATCTTCCACATGAGTTATGAATCGAATGAGTGGGACGATTTGGTTGCGAGTGACGCCTGAGGTGATGGTTCGGCAGTCCGGCGCCAGGCATTCTGACAGTTATCAAAAGAAAGTGAGAGACTCTGGCAACAGAAGTGGAGATGGCGTGTTCTATGAGATGTTGACTTAAACTATTTGAAAACGTAATGAATACTCCATGATGAGCCGAAAAGAAGACAAATGGTGGCTTCATCCTCCTGCGAGCCTACGCCCGAAAAGGCGCTTGTGCGGCTTTGTGCCCCACCGTGCCACCAGTGCACGGTGGTACGGCCCATCAATTGGTACGACCAACGCTGTTCTACGTCCTATTTCCCTCTGTGCCCGCACGTCGTATGTAGGCTTGTGCTTGGTCAGGGACGACAACGTGATGGAAGAGTAAGCCGTGGGAGGTGCCAAAATTGGGCGGCAGACGTGATCGTCCCGCTCAGATGGCATACTTCTATCTACTCCCCGGAGTTGCGCTTCAACAATCTCGACTCAGTCACTAGCACTTCTCTCATCCTTCTGCTGGGGGTGTGGCCGGCGCTGTATCGAAGAACTTCTGAGTGAGAAGAGCCGCCGCCACACTGACGTTGAGGCTGTCTATCTCTCCGACCCCCGGTCTCGCATTAGTGATACCGGCAACACCGTCCACCATCGTGCGCATGAAATCCCGGATCCCGGATTCTTCATTGCCGAGGACGAGCACGCAGGGGTGTTGCAACAGAGCGCCTTCCGGCTTTGAAGGCTCTTGTAGTCCTTGGTGCATGGCCCGCCGCATTCGGATGTCCGCTGTCTCTGGCGCATCCGCCGCGAAGAATTTCCATCCATTCCTCCGCGAGAGCTTGATGAATTCTCTTTCGTTCTTGACGTGAAGAACGGGCATATACTCGAACGCTCCTGCAGAAGCCTTCACACTATTTGTCGTGATTGGCGCAGTACCGTGCTCCAAGACGAGGACTGCATCAACACCGAGAAACCATGCGGAGCGAACGATGGCCCCAAAGTTGCCGGTGTCGGTGATGCAATCGAGCAGCAGCATGAAAGGATATCTGTGAGCAGGCCGCACGGAGGGAAGTGTTGCTTTGTTACCCGACACGTTGAATACGTTGTTGATAGCCTTCTCCTCCTCAGATGCCCATCCGATAGATACCGTGATCGGATCAGAGGGCAGCTTGACAGGAGACAGTACCGTGACAGGCAGCTTCGGAACCGGAGAAGCCTCCAGGATCCAGCCGTTGTGCGGTCGTCCGTCTGATGCTTTTGAAAAGATGCCTTGCCAACGGGGTCCCGACACGGCTTCCACGTGTACTCCAGAGTCTTCGGCAAGGTTATTTATCCGGTTGTGCAGCCGAACCTCCTCTGGCGATTGCTTTGGTTGCATGGCTCTGGCTCGCTTCGTGTCAATGCCGTAGCCAGGTGGTAGGAGCCTGTAGAGCCTGTAGAGCTTCCTCCGCCGAGCTGTAAGAGCTGCCAGGACAGAGAATGTGCCATAAAGGAATTCTGACCCTGCTGTCGTATACGGCATGGATGTTGGTACTTCGCTCCCGCGGCGTTTTGGGGTTGTGCCTTGCGCATCTTGCCCTGGTTGTAAGCTTCTTGGGCCCTTTCGTGTCTTCCGGCCACTGCGTCGTTCGTGGCCCGGAATTAATACGGCTTTCTTCGTTGCCTCCTCTCCAACTGCTCTTGTTGAGCCGTGGCTCTCCTCGTCATTATGGCCGGAGACTTTTCTGGATTCGCCATACTGGTCTTCGAGCCGGGTCCTGCCTCGCTGGGCGTGTCGGATACCTTTTTCGATTGCGCCGGTCAGGGATATGCAGCGTGCATGGCGACGGCAAAAACTGGTTCTGATGGGCGCAGCATAGCCAAGTAGAGGGCGAGAAAGCGACAGCATCCACAGGTAGCTCGAGACTCGAACCGTCAATGCACGGGAGGGGAGCACAGTATGTAATGTGTAGGAAATGGATGAGCTGCAACTGAGGCGAAACATCAATTTGGAGAGACGCGGGACGCGTCTTGCACAGCGCGATTCTTCCTCGAGCCTCACCTTGCTCTCGAGTCTGCCATCTCTTTGCGACCTCCTTCCCCCTCCGTCGACCGCAGTCCAATGTACGATAGAGGCACTCATGTGTGCGCTCGTTCCTTTCAGCCTACGTGAAGTGAGCCGCTCAATGACACGGAATCGTCACTCTACTCTTCCCGATCGCGTTCACGGTCGCACCTTTTCTACCCCGCAGGCTGTAGCACAACGTGATGAGTGGGATAGATCTGTCTGAATGGGTTGGAAAACCACCTGAGAACTCACGCAAGCCAGAAGGACCCGAAGATTCTGCCGAAGATTCTATCGAAGCAGTCGTTCAAAGACCAGTCAATGGCGAAGATATCGAGGTCGGAGAGTTTGAGGATGACACCTCGTTCGCTCCAGACGAGCAGGCAGAACCGTCACACTCAGATGAAAGTGATGGAGGAGACATTGTGCACGACTATGAGATTACGAACACCAAACCTCGCAGAAGACGTGGACAGAGCGCCGACACGTCCCCAAGTGACCAAGATGTGACCGAGGTCGACTACGACGAGGACCGTCCCTTAGTCGGGTTGTTCCAAAAGAGGTTCTATATCGATGTGCCTCGATTGGCAGACGAGGTGAAAGAGACGTATGACTATTTGCCAGGACATTTCACTGTCGAAAGAGTACTGTCCCAGCGAAAAGACAAGCGTTACATCGTGAGGCTAGAGAGCGGCGAAAGAGATATTGTAAGTGCCCTCTCACGAATGCCGTTGCCATATATAGACTGGAACATGTCCTCTGATCCTCTCCCATATTCGTGACTGCTCCTTCTTCGCTTCTTTCACGGTCCTACCTCCCTTCTCTTTCAATCGCCTCATCTCAGTTTCCACCCATTCCTGGGTGCTACCTGTTCTTTGGTCACCATCAATGAATCGCTGACGTTGCCTGCCGCTCAGCTCTCTGCGCGTAGGATACACGAGCTGCACAACGGTTATGACGCGCTGCGAGCGTTCGAAGATAGTCAGCCACAAGCCAGACGACCATCCCAGAGGACTCCAGCCATGGTAGACTGGAGCACGGTTTCCTTAACAGACTCAGAAGGAGAATCGCCACCCCGGCGACGACGAAAGAGCCCAGACGACAGCGATGCTGAACCTGGAGAATCAGAAGAAATATCAGAGGGTGATGAAGAAGACGGTGCTTTGGATGAGGATGCACGCAATGGCCGGCGCTCTGCACGACTCAGCAAACTCAGGAAGACGGCCCATCTAAAGCAAGAGCTTGATGGCCTTCAGGGCGAGACGCGTGGCCGGCCACGAAGGAGTACGAGGGGCACCAGAGGCAGATCAACCCTGCGACCGAAGAGAGAGTCGACGCGCGTATCGATACGCCCTCAGCGTAGGTCGAGAATGAGGGATGAGTCGTCTCCGGAGGCAGGTGTTGCAATGCCAGCGCGGCGATCCGAGCGAACCCGAGCGCAGCCGAAACGGAGCATGCGTGAGAGACAAGAGGACGAGATCTCAAGCTACGAGGACGAGAAATCAGCCCCCAAAGTCATCAGCACCAAAGAGCACTTCGTCAAAGTACCTGACCACGATCCCTTCAGACGGAGGCATCGGCAGGAATGCGAGACTTGTTACTTCAGAGGAGACGACCAAGCGAAGGGACCTCTAGTCTTCTGTCAAGGTTGCACCAATTCCTATCATAAGAAATGTCTCGGTTTTCGGGGGACGAGAGACCACCTAGTCACAAAGGTTGGGGAACAGCTATTTGTTCTGCAATGCAGACGTTGCATCGGCCTGGCTCAAGACAAGGAGACAACGGCTCCACACCAGGGACGCTGTACCAGCTGCCGTGAATATGGTGAACTGTCAAAGCCATTACGAGGTCGTCTCACCACTCGGCAGGAACAGCTGCAAAGAGAGGAGAATGGAGGAACGGATCCAATCACAATTGTTGAGTCTAGGCTCATCAACAATGCCTCCCTGGTCATGTTCCGTTGCTCACAGTGTGCTCGCGCATGGCATATGCATCATCTTCCCAGGCGCCAGACGGCCCACTCGCTCGACGACGAAGGTGAGAGTATGTTGGATGAAGCGCACTTAGCGCAGAAACGGTTCGAGCATTACCACCGGTCTTGGGTGTGCAAAGACTGCATCGAAAATCAACACCAGATCGACGCTCTGGTGGCATGGCGCCCTGTCAACCTGGACTCTTATCACCCAGGAACTGTTGTCACGAAACTGCCTGAAGACGAGAAAGAATATCTAGTCAAATGGCGTACACAGTCGTACTTTCGGACGACCTGGATGGCGGGAGGCTGGGTTTGGGGCATCGCTCCAGGTAATATGCGCGTGTGTTTCCTCAAGAAGCCAGAGAATCAATTGCCGAAGATGACCACAACGGATGCCATCCCCGAGGAGGTATTCCGGGTCGACATTGTCTTTGCTGTGCGCTACTCGAGTGTTGTTCGCAACAGTACCAAGGAAATCGACCTCGCCCGCGCCAAAGAGGTTGACTCGGCTTTTGTCAAATACAAAGGTCTCGGCTACGAAGATGCTATCTGGGAGAAGCCGCCCCCTCCGACCGACATTGACCGATGGAACGACTTCAAAGCTGCATATGAAGATTATGTCATGAAGCTGCACATCGCGATCCCGCCCCAGTCGACCTTGAGACGCCATCTGACCCATATCCGAACATTGGATTTCGAGAAATCGGTCATGAAAAAGAACCAGCCCACGAGCATGGTCGGAGGCGAGCTGATGCGTTACCAACTGGACGGTCTGAACTGGCTTCTCTGCAAATGGCATCTGAATCAGAACGCCATTCTGGCCGATGAAATGGGTTTGGGCAAGACAATCCAGCTGGTTTCTTTTTTCGCTACACTGGTTCAAGATCACAAATGCTGGCCTTTCCTCGTGGTGGTACCCAACTCAACTTGTCCCAATTGGCGACGAGAGATCAAGAAGTGGGCACCTTCTCTTCGGGTTGTGACCTACTATGGCTCGGCTAGGGCGAGGAAGCTCACCCATGATTACGAATTATTCCCAAAGGACAAGGAAGAGGATCCGAATACACCACCAAGAAGGAAAGACAGGGAGGTCAAGGATATCAAAGCTCATATCGTTGTCGCGTCATATGAGTCGATCGTCGAAGAAAAGACCCGAATGAGCTTGATGAAGGTGCCGTGGCAAGCCCTTGTAGTGGACGAAGGACAGCGTCTCAAGAGCGACCGAACACAGATCTATGAAATTCTGTCCAAATTTCGCTTCCCGTTCAAGGTTCTCCTGACAGGGACGCCTCTTCAAAACAACGCTCGAGAGCTTTTCAATCTTCTACAGTTCCTGGACAAAAGCATGAACGCAGCAGAGCTCGAGGCCAAATATGCCAATCTCACACAGGAAAACGTGCCTGAACTGCATGATATGCTTCGGAAGTTCTTCCTGCGACGAACGAAGGCTCAAGTACTCACTTTCCTGCCTCCAATGGCTCAGATTATCGTGCCAGTGACCATGTCGACACTTCAGAAAAAGGTCTACAAATCCATCTTGGCCAAGAATCCGGAACTGATGAAATCAATCTTGGCGCGTGACGGTACTGCAAATCAGAAGGAGAAACAAAATCTGAACAACATCTTGATGCAGCTGCGAAAGTGTTTATGCCACCCTTTCGTGTATAGCAGAGACATTGAGGAGCGAGGAGCTGAGGGTGCCGCTTCGTTCCGGAACCTGGTGGATGCCTCCTCCAAGCTGCAACTCCTGACGATCATGCTACCTAAACTGCAAGAGCGAGGGCATCGTGTTCTCATTTTCAGCCAATTCCTTGACAACCTCGACATCGTTGAGGACTTTCTCGACGGTCTTGGAATGCAGCATCGCCGCATCGACGGCACTATTTCTGCGGCCGAGAAACAGAAACGCATTGATGAGTTCAATGCTCCAGATTCGCAATACTTTGCGTTCTTGCTCTCAACGCGAGCAGGAGGCGTTGGCATCAATTTGGCCACTGCTGACACCGTCATCATTCTCGACCCGGATTTCAACCCGCACCAGGATATCCAGGCTCTTTCTCGAGCCCACCGTATTGGGCAGAAGCACAAGGTGCTCGTTTTCCAACTGATGACGAGAGAAAGCGTGGAGGAAAAGATTATGCAGATTGGTCGGAAAAAGATGGCGCTCGATCACGTTCTCATTGAGCAGATGGACAAGGAGGAAGACGCTGGTGGAAACCTCGAGACGATTCTCCGTCATGGTGCGCAAGCACTGTTCGAAGATGACCCCGGTGTGCAAGATATTGTCTACGATGACGTTTCGGTTGATCGCTTGCTTGACCGTTCGCAGATTGAAGACACCAAGATTGACACGGAGAAGTCGGCCGAGTCGCAATTCAGCTTTGCTCGAATCTGGGCCAATGACAAGTCAGCATTGCAAGAAGACCTGCCCGACCGCACAGCCAACAATACTCCTAACCCTGGCATCTGGGATAAGATCCTGCAGGAACGTGAGCGAGTATTTGCCGAAGAACAGGCGCGGAAAGCCCAAGCGTTCGGCAGGGGCAAGCGCAAGCGACAAGTGAGCAATCCCGGCTTCCTGAGTATGTGTGAAACTGACCCGGGACAGACCGTCGACTACCGTTTGGGCGACCGCGACGGCGAGAAAGCAGAGCCAGATCCCGCAGAAGCCGACGTAGCGCCCGGTGACCCTGATTACCGAGCGCGCGAGCAGTCCGATGACGACGGGGCTACAGAGACTGACGGAGCCACGGAGAGCGATTTGGAACCCATGGCCAAACGAAAGGTGCAAGGTAGGAAATTCAAATCCAGCCCTCGCAAGGCAGCATAGTCGCCGATACTGATCTGTGGTGGACCGTACAGCGAGGCCCTTCAGACGCGTCAGAGTACCCCTTGGCCCAGCGCCGCACTTTAATGGAGATGGGACGTTTGAGTACGGACCCATTCACCAAATGCCAGCTCTGCACCAATGTTCCGCCTGCAATGAACAACATCCCATGGGGTGGTGCCGACTCAAGTTGGCGGGTGTAGAGCATTGTGGGTTATGTGGCATCGCTCACCTCGGCCACAGTCGAACATGCCCGCATCTCAGCAACGAGACGCAAGTGGCAACCTTGCTCCAGACGCTGAAAGAAAGCACGGAGAGCCGAGAGCTGATTGAACAAGCGACGAAATATCTGCGCGGGGTCCGAGGAGATCTCGCCCAGCGCAAACGAGCCAGAGAACGTAGGGAGCTGGAGGCTGTTGTGCAGCAGTCTTCGCACAATCCTCAGCATCCTCAGCATGCTGGGTTTCGAGGTGACGATCCGTCCAGGACGGTTGCATAAGATGCGAATGCGAGGAGGCAGAGACGGGATGCTTTAGCTGGAAGTACTGGAGACATCACAAGCGGCGGCAGCAGCATTCATGATCAGCAGGAAGGTCCACGTACTACTCAGTAGACCGGTGCTTCAGCAGGCACATTCTACTCGTACACACCCTTCTAATTAGCTAGATCTACCAATGGTCAGCAATGATCTCCTTGTTTATTGGCGGTCCAAAGGCACAGACCGGCCAAAGCACCCTGAGATACTCCGCACTCCATACCGTAGATCCAGACCATCGCTTGGAAGACGCGCATGCCAAGGGACAATTGTACGGAGTACTGGGTAAAATGTAAATCTTCAAACATGATCTCTTGGCCACTCGCGTCCGTGGAGGCAATGCAGGGCAAAGCCGTGATGAAACGCAGACTGAAGCAGATCCGGAGTCGGATGTTTCTAATGTGGATCACCGAGCAGGACAAAACAGCAATGACGTCGACGGCTGCCCGTTGGCGGAACCCCGGAGCTGAGGGAATGCTCAATCTCGCAAAGCACAAGCACAGCCTCGACGTCGACACGCGCGTGAGATTGTGTTGTTGCTTGTTGTTCTAAATGCGACTCCGGGGTAGTACCGTCGAATTAGCCTACTCGAACAAGTGCTCGCAGTACGTAGCCGTGAAGACGAAGACGGCGCAGTGACAGCTGAACCCGTTGGTAGTGGAGAATGCGAGTAAGTGATACACTGACCAACATATTTGTGGGGGAGCGAGTGAATGATGCGGGACGCGGGATGCAGGAGACGTGCAAAATGATGTCTGGCTCAGCAGAGGCAGAGACGGCTACGACGAGGACGCTGGTCTGCACTCGTACGAGTACTCCCACACACTGTCCTCGAAGCCCCCGATTTGACATCGTCCCGGCTCCCTCGGAGGGCGATGCTCAGAAACATCCTTCACAGCGATACTGCAACCGCGACCGTCAGACGTATATCGGCAAGGCAGATTCCGAACAGCAGTGACCCCGACAACAGCCTTGTGAAGCCGCGACAGTTGTTTGGATGGTGTTTGAACAACAGCAATCTCCTGTTCTCCTGTGCGCTTCTGCTCAGCCACGCGGCCCGCGTAAGAGCGACAACGCCATAGGCACATCAGTTCAGGGGGGCAAGGGCCCATTGTTGAATGCGGGCTAGCGCCTGCGGGCACGCATCTGGAATTCTTTGACCCCCGAGCTCGTCCCTGCGCGTCCTCGTCCGTAGCCTATCGCTTGCATCTCCACTGCCCCTGCCGCCACCACTCACCACGCAGCTGGCAGGCGGCTGGCCCCCCATCCAAGACAGTGCTACCCCCGAAGCTCGGTGCCCACAACGGCGGAATCCCACCATCTGCAGAGCTCCATTTAGACTCTCCTGCGCTTTCTTGGGCTGTCGTCGTCGTCTTGGTCTCGCGGCGTGTCAAATCTTGCATCTCTCCCTGTTCCAGCCTCCGTCACCACCTCCTCTAACCTCCTTCACCACCCACGCTCGCTATTCACGTCCAACTCAACTACGACTCCGACTGCATTCACGACCTCCATTTTCTTTGACGGCCTCTTTGTCACTGCGATCCCACGACGACCGCCACGATCCTCGCTGCCGCACGGCCGTCCCTGAGTTTTGCCGCTCGTTCCCATTCCCGCATTTTGTCCAACCTCCCCTCAGAATCAATGACACCATCGACAGTCCACCTCGAATAACTGACCACCGACCAAGTTCCGGCTGCTCGAACTCTAATCTGAATACAATAATTCGACTCTTCACATTGTCTCGTTGTTCGTTTTCTGAAAGGTGTTCGCCCTGGTTGGCGCCCTGAATTACCTCGACCCCCTTGAACACCCGCCCATTTTCATCGCAGACGCCAACTGCGACATCATTTCAACATGCGGCCACAGAGCTCATTATCCTGCCTCCTCGCCCTTCTCACCGCCCTCTCCCTCTCACCTTTCACCGTCGCCGAGAACATCATCGAGTCGAACTCGTTAAACTCGTGCAAGAGCGGCTCCAATTTTACAGCAACGCTGTTCAATGTCGCCTACACCCCTAAGAACAGCAGCATCGGCATCAACATCAATGGTGTCTCCTCCATAGTGGGAAATGTGACGGCGCAACTGGAGGTGATCGCCTATGGATTCACCATCCTCAACGAAACTCTCGACCCCTGTTCGATGGGGCTGGCAGGGTTCTGTCCCATGCAGACCGGTCAGATCAATATCGAGACAAATATTGATGTTCCCAGCGATGTCTCCAAGCAAGTGCCAGGGATCGCGTATACTGTACCCGACCTGGACGGTGTTGTTCGAGTCTACGTCACCTCTCTTGACACGGGCGACGTGATTGCTTGCATGGAGGCCGATCTTTCCAATACGAAGAGTGTCTACCAACCTGCTGTAGGCTGGGCTACTGCCATCATTGCCGGCTTGGGTCTCGTTGCGGCTGGCGTCACTTCGGGCCTTGGTCATCCCAATACCGCGGCCCATGTTGCTGCGAACGCTGTCTCGCTCTTCGGCTTTTTCCAAGCTCAGGCTGTGATTGGAATGACCTCGGTGACGATGCCGCCTATTGTGCAGTCATGGACCCAAAATTTCCAATGGAGCATGGGTATCATCCGTGTTGGATTTCTGCAATCCATCGCTACATGGTACCAACGAGCAACGGGGGGTACACCAACTACGTATCTTTCGACTCTCAGCACGTTCTCCGTCCAGGTCCAGAAGCGCGCCATCAAGCGCTCCCTCGACACCATGGTGTCGTTTGCAACACAGAATCTTCGATATCTCGCGAAACGTCAGAGCTCCGCGACCACAACCGCCACGGCCGATAACGTCAAGGTGGTTCGTGGAATCGATAGAGTCGGTTTCAGAGCAGGGATTGAGCAGACCAACATCTTCATGACCGGTCTGATCTTCTTCGTCTTTATTCTCTTCATGGTCGCCGTCCTGGTCGCTCTCACCAAGGTGATCCTCGACGGCTGTGCCAAAGCCGGCTGGATGCGGTCGGAACGATTCTTGGAGTTCCGCAATGGCTGGAAGATTGTCATCAAGGGCATTCTGTTCCGATTGGTAAGTCTCATTGTTCCCGTTCCAGGCCCCCAGTTGCTGACAGGTACAGGTCGCGCTCGGCTTTGTGCAAATGTCCATCCTCTGCCTATGGGAATTGGTCGAGCGGGACTCCGCCGCCGAGGTTGTTTTGGCTCTGGTCGTCTTCATCTCCATGGCCGCCGCTCTGGGATGGGCCTCGTTCAAAGTCATCCAACTGGCCAAGAAGTCGGTCGCCATGCACAAAAACCCGGCCTACATTCTCTATTCCGACCCTGAATGCCTGAACAAGTGGGGCTTCCTTTACATCCAGTACCGTGCGACGGCCTACTACTTCATTGTCCCTCTCTTGGCGTATATCCTGGTCAAAGCTATTTTCATTGCCTTTGCGCAAAAATCGCCGGTCGCTCAAGCTGTCGGCCTCCTCATCGTCGAAGCCGTTGCGTTGATCGGTACCAGCGTGGTGCGACCCTACATGGACAAGAAGACCAACATCTTCAACATTTCCATTGCCGCAGTCAACTTCTTGAACGCCATATTCCTCCTGGTCTTTTCAGATGCTTTCGGTCAGCCGGAGATGGTCTCGGGCGTCATGGGCGTCATCTTCGCCTTCTACAACGTCGTCTTTGCGGCGGTTCTTCTGCTCCTGGTGCTTATTGCCTCCATCTATGCTATTGCATCCAAGAATCCTGAAATCAGATATCAGCCGATGCGCGACGACCGAGGTAGTTTCATCAAGTCTCAGGCCGCCCTCACCACGGAGCTGGACGCACTGGGCGCAACTGCGAGACAAGATGGACAAACTGCGTACGTCAAAGACAAAGGCTATGATGATGATGCGTCCTTTACCAGCGAGTCCCTCAAGCATCAACCCGAGATCTCGCAGCAACCAATGACGCAAACTCAACCATATCCTCCACAGGACTACAACACCCCCATGTATCCTAGCGATCAGCCGGGTCGTCGCGGTCCGCCACAATCACATGAGCAACGACAGATGTACAATCAGGGGTACAACAACAGTGGCGACTACGGCTATGGTGGACGACCAACCACGGGTCACAGCCAGCAAACGTATGACCGAAGCATGAGCAGTCTGGCTAGCGGTGGCTACCAATCGCAGCCACCTCGGTCCGCACAGGGCGGCCATCCTCCACCACAATCTTTCAGACAGCAAAACAACTCAAGCCCCTGGCAACGAGGCGCAGGTTATGATTAACTACGCTCGGGCCACGATGGAACCCCCGCGGACGATCAGTCTCAGAGACAGAATTACCAGCCCTTCGGCCCCACCGGCGTGCCCAGCCAGGACAGGAGAGGTCGAATGAACAGCGAGATGAGAGACTTGAGTGGATACTGGGATCGAGAATGGTGGCGAGACGAGTATGCAACTAGAGGTTGAACCCCATTCGGAGCTGGGAAGACGGAAAGTGTGTGTATAGCTGATATGCATGCAACATGGTTTTGGCGTGAAAAACGGTCAAAAGCAGCAGAGAGCTGCTCAGTCATGAGAACATGAATCAACTTAAGCATTCAATCAACCCTGCATCTTGTGCGTTGAGGGACACGAGGGTCTTGGATCTTTTTGGCGTGTTCGGTTAAACAAGGCCAGAAATAGTGGCATACAGAGGAGTCAGGAGGACGTATGTGTGTGTGTGCCATAAGAGCCTCGAGGATGGGGTGGGAATTCTCAAAAGGCACCACCATCGACACTGTCCTGTTTTATGTGTAGATATCCACAGTGGTGCGGCAATGGAATCAAAATGCGCGAAAAAAAAAGAGAACATCAATCAAGTCTCCCTCCCTGCGTTGTGAAAGGTACTGTTGCCACCATGTACGGAGTACTCGGGCTCGTATTCCTGGCCCGAGGAACCGAAGGACATACAGTAAATTGGTACCGAGTACGGAGTACGCAGTAATCAATCATGATTGCGGAGTGCTTTACAGTGAGGGTGGTCAACATTCTCGCGATTCTGCTGTAAGTTACTCCGTCCTGAGTACTGAGGACTTGAGCATTCCCGTCCGTATGCCTACACAATACCATCCTCTGAGGGGACTTTATTACGACTGGCACGTTGCTACAGTAAGTAGCTTTGGACCGGTCGCTCAAGTAATCACTATTGACTCTCTACGTCTTGATCATTACAACTCGCTCCCTGCTACTACTTTGCTGTGTGATGCCTACTATTTACGACTTACTACCAGGTAGAACATGGTCGTTTGTAGACAGAATGGACGACATCTCGTCCACATCATCATGTGATCTTGCCCATTTTTCAACAACAACGCGTACCGCAGGAAAGGGCCGTCTGTGATGAACAAGTCTTGATTGAAGCTGTTCCCTGACCATGCCAGCCGTGTGAGTTTGGTACGTCGTATTTTATGCTGCCGTCTCGGATGTCTTGTGAGGATTCTGCGCACCCTCGCAGTCGCGAGGTGGAATGGTCGAGGTATTGGCGTGGTGGAGGACGAGAGCGGGATACTTAGGCCTATCCGCTCACAAAAGGGATGAGGGTCGTACCTTGCGAGTGAGGAGTGACGGTCTCCAGACGCTGTTCTGCCACGACTGAGGTTGATGGGCAGACGATGTTGTTGTTGTAGAAGTAGCTTGTGGCGTGTTCCACCGTCGTCGTAGTAGTAGGTTTGGCGTGCCTCCCTTTTGTTTCTCGTCAGTGCTCAAGTCTGTCGGACACAGCAAGGCACGTCGTGTCTGCGATAATATCAACGCCGAATGTTTGGGTGTGCATATCACGTAGGAGGTTCGGCATCCCAAGCCGACCTTGGGTAGCCATCATGCAGTGAATCATAGTCGGTGAGAGAATCAGATTGGTCTTCACTAACCAACGCCTGCGCAAAAGTTACAAACTGGCAGTTCTCCAGCAGCCTCAAACACGTGTCTTCTCCTTGAAATTGTGTGGGAGATTTATTGTCAGAAGCTGTAGGCGTTGAACCTCTTTTGCAGTGGCCCTGCATCCAAAATACTCACTATTCCGTTCGAAAGATGAATCACGACGAGGCTTTCTCATCTCCGTCAAGCAAATTGAACACAACCGCCCAGCCAAAATTGTTCCTCGACTTACCTGTGGAAATCAGACTCGCTGTTTACGAACATTTCGCCAACATCCCTCCGAAGCCAAAATGGTCGGCAAAGGGAGCGAAGGATCTGTGGATAGTCCAGCTCGGTGGAGACGCCAACAAGCAGACGGCTAAAGACACTGCGCCTGAGGAACACTCGTCCAGCGCGCAAGGCGAGACGACTGCTTTGACGGCACAAAAAGACTTCGAGGCCTACCAAGTCATCACAGCCACGAGACATGCCCTGTTGTTGACTTGCAAAAGCATCCATGCAGAATGGGCTCCGCTGTTCTGGTCCACCACGACAGTTGTTCTAGGGTTGACCGCTCAGGCCGACCCAGCCACCTTCGAACGGCGGTTCCTCACCCGAGTCGACGAATACAAGCTTTATTCAATCCGACATCTGCTGTACTGTCCGCTGAGATGGAGGCCACACATCAGAGGCCGCCCTGTTTCAACCGAAAGTGACTGCGACCACATCGGCGTCTTGAAATTGGGACGAGTCTTGCAGACATATCCATCATTGCTGAGTGGCCTGAAGAATTTGAAGCTGACTTTCCAGCCGGGAGGTCTTCTGCCAACCCACTACGTCTTGAATGCGCGAGCTGGAGAGATAGCAGCAGACAAATGGACTTCTATGGATCCGGGTGGTGAGTGGGATACCTTTATCCATATGTTGAATGGCAGTGAGGGTGTGGCAGCCTGGAAGGCCGACCGGATCATTGAATTCGAGGCATTCCGAGTCGTGCCCGAAGGTGGGGTGTACTGCTGGATCGCTGCACGCTGGGAGTTGACGTGTCGGCGAAGTTGACGATCAGAGGATGGAAGTGAGGATTGCCACGAGTAGGAGAGGGTGGAGGTTTCGAGTTGAGGAACTGAGCTGAGCTGAGCTGAGCCGGAACCGTCGAGTTCGAGCTGAGGAGAGTCAAAGTTTGGCCGAGCGAACGACAGCATGGTGATTCGACTGACTGGGGGATTACATAAGTCAGTACTAAACCCAGTTCAAGAAGAGACAGGACTGGACTGGGGATCCGATCAACACACCGCAGACAAGTTCGACTCGTGGCAAAGAGGAAGAAGCTCTCTCCCCAGCAAAGGGAACAACCAGAATGGCTACAGACATTGGTGTTTGCATATCTGGGAAAGTGGGTCTTGTTTTCCTAGCTATTAATTGATTGATTAGTCACAACGCGCCGGCTTTTGTTGAGCGCGTTGTCGGGCGACTGGCAACCGCGAAATTATCGATGGCACTTGCTGCGTACGCCAAATGGCTTTCCGGGCCGACACGTGGGAATGTATGATCGATAACTCAGGAACGAGCAAACAATGCGCTTGCAGGCATTCGTGATGGTCATTTGAGTTCCGCCTCTCTGGTCTGACTCCAGTTCCTCTGTGAGCCTTGCTTTGCATCTATCTGAGTGAGAGGTACACAAATGGAGCGAGCACGGAGACACGGATCTCCATCGTGAGCCAGCTCAGTCGCTCCCATGATGACCAGACGTTGACGGAAAACGTGTAGCTTATTGAAAATGTAAGACAACTCATATGTCCGCCGTGCATTCTGCCGTCCTAGCACTGACCTCATTGACATGCAACCCTGAGCACTGCAGAATGAAATCTGAGGACGTATCTACGCCAGATCCTGTTGGCAGCGAGCCAGACTGTTCGTCGAAGAGATCACCGATTCTCTGTACGCCGAGAAGTGCTCGAAGCCCATGGTTGTTCGATCGCGTCCGCCGTTCTGTCAACCCACTGCATCTACCCCAGCCCGCGGCATCAGACGCCATCTGTCACACTCAGTTCATGAGTTCCGCTTTCCTCTCTTCCCATGCAGCTTGCCAACTCTTCCTGGTCCTTTCATCATCCATGGGCTACGCTCACTTCGCCGCCTTGATGTAGCTGGTGAGCATTCTTGAGGGTCAGAGAGTTGATCACAATTCCCGGATCAGCGACAGATTCGCCTGCGCCATGCCCTGGATGTCTCTTCGAGAAGTGGACATGTACGCAGAGCATTTGACTCGGAAAAGGGCAACGAAAATGGCAAATATTGACCTTTCTCACAACGCTCCAGCCCGTCAAAGCCGCTCGGCGATTTCTTCGCACGAGCAGTTGCTCGATCTCTTCCCATAGGCCACCCTCGCTTGCCCTTGCCCACACATCCGCTGCAGCGGCGTTTGAAAGACCCCACGGCCTTAGGTCGCGGTTCCCACCATGCCAAATCTGCCACCTTGCATATAACTCGACATCTTGCAGCGACGACAAGTCGGTTCGGTATCGATCAAGAATGCGTGCAAACTGTCGAAGGTTTGGGAAATTGACAGTGGTGACCCTCTGGTAGCTGACTGACTCGAATCGACCGTGAATTGAGGCATCATAGCAAAGTCTCCGGATATTGCTGAGTATGCTCGCGCTGGCCGATTTGAGGAAGGCCTTTTCGAAAGAAAGGGCCCTTCCAGTGGTGATGCGACGGTCATTGCCACCCAGGTATTCAGATCTAGGCCCATGGACGATGATGGTGGTAGTACGGAAGAAAGTGGGCGACCATTCGGCGTTGATTTGGTGAGACACGTTCAGTAAGGATCTTCGGGTCTTGCTGATGGCTGCGAGTTCTTCAACGAAACCAACGTCGACTCGCTGCATCGGCAGGAAACAGTCATAGCTCTCCTCTCCAACACCAGCAATGGCCACGACCTCCTCACCGAAGCCGGCGTCATTCTTCGGCACTGCGACGAAATAGTCGTAGATCTCTTTTCTGACTTCTGGCGGCAGGTCCATGAAGCGAAAGCATTGCGAGGTTGTCGTCGTCGAATCCATATTGATTGTCATATCACGGCGGGTGTGTGTTGCTTCGCTTTCGGCTGGGGGGCCAGTGCTTGCTGGGGGCCTACAGGCTTGTCAGGTGTTAAGGTCGGCGTAGCCACTGAACGTGGCAGATGGTGCTCGCAGAAGATCGATGACGAGAAGCGAAGTGAATGAGAGGAGAAGGTGAGATGAATTTCAAGGACAAGGAAGTAGCAGGACTGTGAGATGCAATGCCAAGGCACAGCTTCACTTCTCTGATGTTCACCTGCTTAGCTCCTTACATTACTTCAATTCTGGTGAGCCCATGAATCTGAAAGACTGGATGGCCAGACTGGAGGGACTTGCCGAAGGTAGCAACGATATCAGGGCAGGGATGAGGTACACTTGATATCGGTTCGCGCATGAGCAGAATCGAGTCAAGACACAAGGGTAGAGAATACGTTGCCAGGGATTATTCTCATGTTGTCTCGACAGCGCCAACCTCCCTCTACATGAGCTGGGGGGAAGCCGACGCCGATATCTATGACTTCACAGACTAGCCAGTCACAGGGATATGCCACGAGCATATGATCCTAGCCGGTGTGAGGCGCTCTGGTTATACCGCCGCTGTCTCAGTCGAGGATAAATGGATGAGACTTCGGCCCTGCTGTGCTCTCCCGTCCCAGCACCGGCACTAACTGTCTCGCCCTGGAATGCTCCTTTTCTTCATCCCACAACTACGACGACCTGCTATTCTCCTGCGCCTCTCCTCAATATCATCCCCCCCAGGTCCCTTTTTCACAATCCCATTAGCAGGGAGCAAGAGGATGCAAGGCAACATAGCACGGGTGATGGTGTTACGTCGCAGTTTCTGCTTGACGAGAGGTGCTTCCGGAGAAATTTGGCAGTATCGGGAAGAGGTAAGGCGGAGGGAATGCTGAACGACCTCAATTGATCGAAACTCTACCTGCCGTTTGCCCAGCATTTGAACATCAATATCGAGGAGAATATCGGCAGGAAATACTGATGATGACAACAAGCCGTCCTGTCGTGCCACGTAGTTATCCTTGCATTCAGTTGGCAAGCATTGGTAAGGCTGGCAGCCTCCGCGCCGTCATACCGAGATCGAGGTCCCACACCGTTATCCTGGAGCAACAACACTTCGTTCGTAGCAACGTCAGCGATCCATCAGCATATTCTCACTGACCCACGCACCAGGCACGTTGACATCGTCTGCGCAGAGCACAAAAGGAATGGCAGGATCGCCAGCCGCCAGCCAAATCCGGTAGGCGTCTCGAAGGGTAGTGTCGTCGAATACGTCCATGTCCTTGTCGGCCCCGTTCTCAGCCCAGAAGAACCTGAAATTCAGCCGATCATCACTCAGCGCAGGCAGCTCGCGCCTCTGCCGGATTGACTGGCAGCCAGCGCGGATGGCCGCGATATTGATGTCCTCTGGCCCCGGCGTCCACATGGTGTTGAAGAGTTGCGCCATGTTCACCGCGACCGGAAATCCGTACTTGAGACTCATAACCTCAAGGGTATTGGGCACTGCCGGTTTCAGAACACAGAACCCACGCAGCATACCCTGCGCATCGGGCGGGGTGGTGTTTGTGTCCTTTTGGTGGCCGTCACGTTCGTCCTCCCTCTCTTCCCACTTGAATGGCGTCAACGTCGCAGACGGTGGTGGTGCGGACTTGGTTGGGGAATCATATTCACACTTGACTGTACAGGTTTTGCTCCGAGGACTGCGTGCTCCGATATTTCGTTCTCTGTCACCAACGCCAGACAGACTCGGTTGCTTCCCTCGGCGCGCGCTGTTGACGATTTGAATGAGCTTGGTAGGTGCCTTCCGGAAGAATTCGTGCGCGTGAGGGTACCGTGCGGGCGAGAAGGAGCGCTGAAAATAGATCCCCACTCTTGCATCTGCCACCAGGCAAGCGGCGGCGTGATCACGGATGGACCTGTTGGCGGCGCTGACGAACATCAACGGCTTCCCACCGGGGAGGACCTTGTCGGCAATGGCGAGCATGGCGTCGTAGGTCTTGGGCGTGATATGCATTGCCTCGCCGAATTTCTGTGCGTACCATTGCAGATTGTTGGCGTTGTTGTTCAACCTCTCGTAAAAGCTTTCGTCTTTCGGTGGGACGCCAGCTTGGGTGTGCCTGCGAGCGTCCATTGTGATGTGATGTGATGTCGGTAAAAAGGGAGGTAGGAGGAGCTGTGAGGATGGCACAAAAGGTAGGGTCAAGGAAGCTCCGCAGAGAGACAATAAACAGTTGAAGTGTGGTGGTAAAAGCGACAATGGCGACGTTGATGATCCAAGACATGTACATATCTCGAGATGTAAAAGGTAAGAGATACGGCTGGTAAGGCAGTGCCAGTGAGGTTGCGCGAAGCAGGTCTCCTGTGAAGTGAAGTGAAGTGAAGTGAAGTAAACAGTGAAGGGTGAGTCCGATTTGACCTGAGGCGACTTCACCCTCTTCTCCTTTGTAGCTCTTAAAGTGCCATCGTCGTCATGAGCACTTCTGATATCTCAACTCTCCCTTCACCCTCGCGTGGTATCAGTCAAAAGCTAGTGATCACATCGACTGACTTGGCACAGGGTGTTTAGTCCACCCATACAAAACAGAAGACGGGGGAAAGTCTCCGAAAGCGATTGGGCAGCAGGCCGAGGAAGTGGAGTTGATGAGTCTGAGGATTAGAGGATACAAAGCTCATGAAGGGAGTGAGAATGGCCGGAACAGGGAGGGGAATGGTCATACAAAAAGCGAAGGCGTATGAGATCCAAATGATACCAATGGGCCTTATTCAACTGTGGAAAGTCTGTTGTTGCGAAGGCAGAACAGTAAAGTCCTAAACGTGCATTTTATGTTAGCATCGAGCAGCATCTGGTATAACATCGACGCTCTGCTCACCCTATATCAACGGCTTGGCCGCATCAACTTTCATTCTCGGTACCATGCCGAGGTCACCCATCTCCGAATACATCTCAAAGAGAGCTTCTATCGTGTCGACGAAGCCTGTCCAGCCCATGCGTCGGGCCTTGTTCATGGCGAGGCTGCCGACTCTCAGGAAGGCGGCGTCCCCGAATTCAAAGTTCGCCTGGGGGTCTCGGAATGGATCATCAGTGAGTTGGCCTCCGGAAGCCTTCATCAACCGCTGCCAGGCTTCTTTGTTTTCCGGTTTCTTGGCCCAATCGACGAGGGAGAAGAGGCTGCGTATGACTGGAGCCGGACCATAACTGTGCTTGTGCTCAGCGGAAGACCAACACGCACGAGCTCAATCTTTACTCACCCCATGGGAGTATCCTTCCCGCTCCTACCCTTGAATTCGTGGAACTTGCTCAGATCCTCTTCTGGAGGATGGATACCCTTCTCAACACCAAACCAACGCACCAATTCCTCGTAGAACCTGTCCCAACTCACTGCCCCGGTATCCTGAGAGTTAAAGGCCTGATTCTTGCACTTGTCCTCCAACACGGCCCACTCTGATAGGTATCCCGTGAGCATGGCACTAGAGTGGTGTGACTCTCCTTGCCACGAGTCCCAGTCCCCCGCGAAGTACAACGGTTCACCCTTCTGAGCTTGGACAGCGGCGTAGATGGCGAACGGATGCAAGGCATTCATCTGAGCATTATTGACGGCACCAAGAATCCAGGCCGGACGAATGACGTTCCACGAAGTTTTGTTTGCTTCACAGTACCGGAATAAAGACTTCTCTTGTGGGTAGTAGAAGTTGGGTTCGAGATGAGCAGGTGGAGGGTCCGATTCGATGGCGGGTACCCGTGCCCGACCGATATGAACGCCGTAATGCTTGGCTCCTGTCTGGAGTAAGAAGCGCTTCGGGACGATGTTGGCCTGGCTAAGCGCGCCGAGGAAGTTGTCAAGCAGCGCGGTGTTCACCTTCACGAGCTCGTCCGCATTTGACCACACCACCGCACCGGGAGGAGGTCTTGGCTGGAGGTAGGAATAGAAGAAGACGTAGTCAGCTTTCACACCAGCTGATGTCATGGCGTCAGCAATCTTCTTGGCATCCTCAAGAAAGTCAACGGCGACATGTTGGACACGAGAACGCTGTTCCGGCTTGAGTAATCCCATCATCTCCTTCGGCGGCGGTCGTCTGGACAAGGCATATACTTTGCTCCAGCGTTCCGGGCTTTCGAGCAGAACCCGCATTGTGTGGAAGCCTGAAATGCCATTTGCCCCGGTGCTGCAAAGTTCGGTCAGACTGTCAAGGCGTTGATGCAACGCTAGGATGGAGATTGCCATGAGGAGGCCGTCTTTCGCGGGAGGCAGACTTACACGATGGCAGTGAGGTTCTTAATGGCTGGGTCAAAGACCGGCAGGTTGTGGTAAATTCCACTATGCTTCACAGGATAGTGTTCGGACCCCATGGTGATAAGTTTTCAGAGCCGGGTCAAGTTGTCGTGAATGGCGGAGGGAGGAGTCACACACTTCGGAAGGCCATGCTCTCCCTTATATCTCACAAAGAATGGACGTGGGCCAGGTGTAGGAAATGGGGTAAGCCACGACTTCACCTCGGTTGTGTTCCATGCCAGTTCTGGCCCATTGTTGGCCTTAACTTTGTCCCATATTGGTCTTCGCAATGGCTTGGACATCGGGTGCAAAGGCGGGGTTGGTCCACGGCATCAGTGGACTCCAATATACCGCTGCGGCTCTGTACAGGCACGAAGGGACACTACTAAGATCATGCACGTTCGTTCGCTGCATGCCCGATCACGCGGATGCTACTTCATATGCGACTTTCTCTAATGATGGACAATTTGGTACGCTAGAAGATAATCATCTGCACGATCGATGTGGAGCTCGTGTTGTAAAGAGGACTAACGTTTGCATCGCAGCCGATGGCCGGAGGGACGGAGGGACGGAATTGGAGATGTCTTCGGATGAATATTGTTCCGTATACGATCGCGACCCGCGCAGCATCGTGCCGAGTCAGTAAACAGTCAGCGCAGCAACAGGTCTGCCAGCATCCTCAAGCAGGCTATTATCGAGCAACATGCTGGACTGGCAGGATTTCGATGCAGTCTTCCAGGCCAAGACGGACTACGCCTACGACAACAGAACTGTGGAGAGCATCGTCAAACACCGAAAAGAGTTTGGTGATCAGTTGTTCTTCGATCGTATCTGGAAGTTGATCGGGCTCGCAAGACGTGAGATTGTACGCCAGAAGAGTTCGAGGGGGTCTCTAACGGATCACAGCTGCAAGAAATAACTATCCTCCACGGTCGAATGCGGATCTACGTAACCTGTGGTCGAAGATAGTGCAATCGACGGCGCCAGACGAGCAGAAACTCGCCCTCCTCTACTACTTACTACGAGACTGCCGGCAACTCCCCAACGCAGACGCCAACTTCGCCCGGAGAACGCATCTTCCTCCAAGATGGCAGCTACTCGTGGCAGGTCTGTGGGAACTCGACCATGCGCAATTTTCGCGAGCCCTAGAACACCTGACAGACCCTTCTCTCACGCCCACCTTCACCGATGAGATCCTCTATACCCTGCTTCAACACCCTCGATGCGACCCTTCCCTCGCAACAGCATACCTCGTGTCGGTATCTCCTCCGCTAGCGGACAAGAAGACGATGGACGCATACTTTGACATAGTCATGAGCAACAATCTGGCGGAGGCTTATTGTTTTGCGCAAAAACAACAGGAGTCTAGCCACAGAATGCTGTTTGAGAGACTAGTGGTATCGGTACACCAAGAAAAGCCTACCCATTCTCGTGCCGAAAAGGCTGCCCTTCTTGTCGGGCTTCCGCTGACAGCTCAAGAGGAATCATGGCTGGAGGAATGCTTGCTGCATGGAGCAGCCTCGAAATTGCCTGGTGCAAAGGACTCTCTAATGGCACGAAGCATCGCTGTAGCACGATCCGTAAGCGACAATAGCCCTCTGAATAGACTGAAAGGGGATGGCGTCGCTGGGGTCAATTGGGACATTGTGAGGGCGGGCATCGCCGGAGCTGTTCCGCATCGAGTTTCGGCAGGATCGAGCTTCGAGTGAAGGGCTGACAAAGGCGCACGATTGATTGACAACCTGAAAATGCTGCTTTGGTAGACACAGCGCTCTTTAGGCCACCCCAACGAGAACGGCTACACTGCGGAAGTCACGCCCGCAAGCCTTTGAAATGAGGTCCCGATGCTGACGCGGCTGTCGGCTCCGTTCAAGACCTACATAGCTGCGCACACAACCCGAGAACCGACGACGTCACGACTGTGTACCAAGCACCACACGTTCCAGGGTCGGCCGCCGGGAAAGGTACCTTTATCGCCGCCACGGACGTCAGCTCGCATCCAGCCTCGTTGTCCACGACGGCAGGTGCAGAGCTCTCGCAGCTTACTCGTACCTCGACGAACAATCTGAGTTCCTGCAGCTCCCAGGGTCATGCGTGCCGTGATCAGGGACTGCTGCGCCTCGGCTGACGCTCCGCTTTCTCACCATGGATTACACATCCTGGCTGTCTGGCACATTGTCAGACCGGCTTTCGACCACGGGTAGAGCAGCTGTTCGAAACTCGCGGGTAGACCTCAAATCAGACGAACATCAGCCGTTAATCCAAAGACAAGACTCGGAAGACTCCCATCGATCTGACAATGTATCCTGCCAACCACGATCTCTACTTTTGATTCTAGCAATGCTGCCACTCCTTCTGCTGCTGTATTACGTTTCGACAGTGCTGGCTACCGATCGAACAGTCCACCTCGGTTACGCGTCCTACAAAGGCACACCCTCTTCTAACGGCGTTTCTCAATGGTTGGGCATGCGCTATGCGGCTCCTCCGACGGGAAACTTGAGATTTGCTGCACCTCAAGATCCTCCGGAGGAGTCTGGTGTACAGGCTGCTGACACAGTGCGTCTGCTGTTTCACATAGCGTCCAAGCTTCGATCGCTAACATTGTAAAGCACGGGAAGCTCTGCCTAGGAACAGGCGACAGCCCTCGCAATTCAGCAACATCCGAGGATTGTCTTTTCATCGACGTATACGCTCCCACCAGTGCTACCACCACGTCCAAATTGCCGGTCTACTTCTTCATTCAAGGAGGCGGCTTCAATTTCAATTCGAATGGCAACTACGACGGGAGTGGGTTGGTTACTGCTTCTGGCAACGGCATTGTTGTTGTCACGTTCAATTACCGCGTCGGACCCTACGGGTTCCTCGCGAGCCGAGAAATTCAAGATGCAGCACCGCACGCTAGCCTCAATAACGGTCTCAAGGACCAGCGCAAAGCCCTCGAATGGGTGCAGAAATACATCGCCCAGTTTGGCGGCGATCCCAGGCATGTTGTCCTCGGTGGAGACTCGGCGGGCGCGGCAAGCATCGCCTATCATTTAACAGCGTATGGTGGCCGTGATGACGGACTGTTTGTCGCCGCTGCGGCCGAGTCGGTCAGTTTCGCTACTATTTTGGACATTGGCGAGAGCCAGTATCAGTATGACAACTTGGTCAGACTCGCGGGCTGCGCAGACGAGGACAATACTCTCTCATGTCTTCGCTCTAAATCCTCCACAGAGTTGCAGACCTTCAACCGCAACATCCCCTACCCTGGCGCAAAAAGCCCTCCACTGTACATGTGGAATCCTGTCCTCGACGGTGATATGGTCCGAAACTACACACGCACATCCTTCAGCAATGGAGACTTCATCCAAGTTCCTGTCATCTTTGGCGACGACACCAATGCGGGAACAATCTTCACACCAAGGGGCACATCATCCCTATCTCAGTCAAACACATTTCTCCACAATCAGTTCCCCTATCTTACTCCGGAACAGCTTGAACGTATAAGTCAGCTCTATCCCAACGAAGGCCCGGATTTTCCCAATGCAGGTGCATGGTGGAGACAAGTCTCCAATGCTTATGGTGACATGAGATACATGTGTCCAACACTCTGGATTTCTTCCACGCTCGCGCGCTATGGTGTAAAGGGCAACTGGAATTATCGCTACAACGTCGAAGACCCGGAACAAATGCAACGGGGTCTCGGCGTGCCTCATACAGCCGAGCTGTCGGCCATATGGGGTCCCGCAAACACGAATGGTGCAGCCCCAGCGAGTTATCAAAAAGGAGAGGTGAATGATTGGATTGTGCCCCTGATACAGAGTTACTGGGTGAGCTTCATCAAAACCTTGGATCCGAATTCGCTCCGGGCGAAAGGCTCGCCGAGATGGGAAGAGTTCATGCCCACTGACGCGCAGGATGACCCGGGCAGTGCCGACTGGAGCAGGATGCTCTTTGACACGTCAAAGACCACTGCTATGGAAGATGTCGGTACAGCGGTACGGACGCGGTGTCAGTATCTGAATTCCATTGGACTGGCAATACGGCAATGATGTATACCATTCTCGTGACTTTAGCTAGCGAAGGCGTCCAGGACAAGGGGTAAATGTCGTCGAATGTCGACATGAATGATCAAGATTTGGGTATAGTAGAACGGAACCCCGTCTTCACAAGCCACATCATCAGACTATGAAGGGCCATCACTGGATCGCGTTCGCGAGACGCGAACACAAAGGGGGATGCGTCAAGCACAGCGCCGATATGTGCTTGATCTCGGGATCGGGGTCACTCAGCTTTCTATACAGAACAGGCTGCCGTCGTCCACTTCATGCCCTACATCGCCCCCAAGCTTTGGAATCTGCATCGGTCGTGCATATCTCTCTTGCCTCATCAGGAACTCTACCGACCCCGCAGTCATCCAGCGGAGTTGAGCTACTGGCAGTTTGATAAGGCCAGCGACTTCTCTCTTTCCTCTCTCGTCTTATCATAGATGTCCTCTGCCGGCTGTCGCGTATCCGAATAAACTTGTGAGTATAAGAGACTCGTGCCGAAGCTCACTTCAGAGTCCATTCGAGGTAATTGTTTTGGTCTGCTTCCCAACCCGCGTGCGATTGACCGGGACGTTTTCGTGTTGACGTTCGGATTGTTGCCCAACATGTCGAGCACAACTACCCTCAGTCAAGTCATTTCTACTTCCGCGCCCTCGTCAGAAGCGCAATGGCGTGGCAAGCTGCGATACATTCCACCGGGTCAAACACCGACTCCGTCTCCTCACAACTTTCACCTCCCCGCCATGGCAGAGTTCGGCGACGTGCGGCTCCAAGCACTAATAGACATGCGACCTGTGCCCACCATTGCTGAGCTGAGGAATGCAAGAGAAGGGACAGCCCAACTCGCCACTCATGGCTTCACGGCCATCCGTCACCCGACCACCATGAATTCTCCACCGTACAGCCCTGCAAGCTGGAAAGACCCCAAGCTCCTCAAGCAACTGTATGTTCCCGAGACGGAAGAGATGGTCAAGCAAGTCACTGGAGCCAAAACAGTCATCACCGAAGCCCTTCTCCTCCGCAGCGCTATCTGGTCGGAAGCAGATGCTCTGGCGACGCACGCCGGGCACGGCGATCAGGAGGGAGGTGAGGTCAAGCCGGCCGAGAAGAGTCAGGAGGAAAAGGATCTCGAACTTGGGTTTCCCCAGTTTATTGGATTCTCCCCCCAACATGGCGGCGCGTCTCCGGCGCCGAAAGTCCATCTTGACTACGCCCCCAACGGCGCGAGGACCCATCTCCGGAAGTATCACCCGACCATGACAGCCGTTGCGAAGCCCATCATCGAGGCGGAGGAGAAACTCCTTGCCGAGGGCAAGTCTCTCCGTGACGAATACGCGTCGTCTGGCCTTGGACCACGGTGGGCGCTGTATTCCATCTGGCGACCTCTGAAACGTGTCCGACGGGACCCCCTGGCACTCGGCGACGCTCGAACATTTCTCGAGAGTGATTACGTGCCTGTCATTGTCAAGACCCCCAACCTCGGCGTCTCGGAGGAGTCCAAGGAAACGCATGACACCGAGTCCTACCTGGCGCGATGGTCCAGTGGTCAGAAGTGGTACTTTATCTCGGAGCAAGAGCCCGAGGAAGTGCTGGTGATTGGCTTGTTCGACAGTGAGAGGGATAAAGAGACGGTCGCGGCCGGAGGGACCCTGCACAGTAGCGTGGATCTGGAGGGCACCGAGGACGAGGAAGCCCGGGAGAGTATAGAGCTGAGATGCCTCGCAACTTGGTAGCGAACCATGCAGCGCGTGCTTGTTGTGTTGCGTGGCTGGGTTCTGGCGCACCAGGTACAGCAATTACTTGTAGTGAGTGGTCCAGGGTTTTGCACCACACCATGATACTCCCTTGCTTTATAACTTGTTTCACCCGTGGGTCCAATTGAGAGTTTCTTCGTTCAGCCTGCTTCAAGTTTGCCAAGTGATACATCCTTGCCTTGTCACATGCTATAGCTTTGGTTTGTCGACGCGTCCGGGGTTGGAACTACAGTATTAGGTCAAGCCCTGACATCTTGCGCAGGGCACACATGCGTTCTGAGCCCCATATCTGATGCCTTCGGTGTGACTTTCGGAAGCAAATCCAGAGCAGGCAGGTATTCCCTGACCATGACGGGCGGAACCAGCAAGACAGGCCGGGAGAGTGTGCCCGTGGGACTCCAGAGTCTCCCCACGAAAGCAAGTCGGTAATCTACGGCTTCCTGGCAGGGCCATTGTACTCACGCGCTACGATGTACGCCAGCGAGGCAGACGCATATCCTTAGCCCAACGTCTCCACCAATCTGGACAGCTGGGTCTGTATTCGCCAACCTCGAAACTTCATCTAGTCGGCGGACTTTCCTTTGACACGAGCCGGGTTTACGGGAGCAAGACGAGTTGGTATTCCTGAAGAAGGAAGGACTCGAGGAACATGGCTCCATTCCTTGGCGAACAGCACAACGTCAGATCACATCTCCAGCCTAGGCATTCAAATACTGCTTCTGGTTAGATTGTGTAACGCCGGTCGTTGAAGCGTACGGTCTTGGTGAGCTTTCCCTCTGTTTTGGCAGAACGGTGAACCTACAGCGGGTGGAAAGGCAACAGCCGAGAACGGAGTATCGGACCTTGCTCGGGCGGGAACGCTGGAACAAGTGTGGACTCGACTCTCTCTACACAGCAAAGGTATCTTCGATGCAGGCCATCGCCATGCTGACCTAGACAACAAGGCAGTAAGAGGTTTTGTACCAATGCAAGCAGAGGCTGAAGACTCGCCACGCAAGCAAACGCATCGAAAACCAGAACCTCGGCTCCCTCCCGGCTCGATAGTTTGCATGGCAACGGAGAGTAGCACGACCTGGCGGCCGGCATGGTCACGGCTTCGTCATTGCACATGAGGGACTCTGAACGCCCGCTGCAAGGTACGGTGGACAGGCAAAGTCAAATGAGTTCGTTTCTCCTTCAGACCCGAGATCCCAACACTTCACACCACAGTCTGCCGCTGGCCAATGATTATGGAGCCCATGCACTGTGTCCTAGCACGCCAGTCGGCTCCAGCTGTTCCCACAGGTGGAAGCTCTCATAGAGGTCCCGAAACCAGGTACCTGCCCGAGCCGGCGTCAGAACGGGGTAACTCTGATTGAATGGGCTGCTCCCTTCCCATGCAAAGCTCGGTAATAGTCCCACAGCAGGGCTTCTGGCCTGTTAATTTGAGAGCTTAGGATAATCCATGCAAACCTGTGGCTTACACTGGATTGCATATCCGACCACCACGATGCAACCGAGATTTTGCAGATCTGGGGTCAAACTCTCGACCCAGATGCCTGCATCTCATGCACGACACACTGGGCGGCTTCAGAAAGGGTCTGCTGTAGATGGGTGTCTTCTGTGCCAGAGGTGTTGCAGGCGCCGAACATACCGACCGCGACATTGCTGTGACCAACCGCTGACAGATTCGGCATTCACCACGTTCAAACCTAGACTTCTCATGCCAACGAACTCCCCCAGCATGGCGACGTTGAAGCGAGATTCACTATCTGGCCCAGATGGACGCCATGGGTATGTGGTCCATGGAACAGGCCGAAACCCGCTCATGATCGACGGCGACAAGTGTCACGTCGTAAAGTATCATACGAGCCTCGCAGATAAGGGCGATCTCTCGTACGGAGGTCCGGTCTCGCATATCTTGTCATTGGATTGAGGCTACACCGTAGAGATACTAACAAACTCTGATCGAGGTCCTGCGTAGATGGCAAAGATAGACGCCTTCGGACCAAGACGGCAAGCTTCGTGGTGCGAAGGCCGCTATGCCCCATGCAGCTTTGATGTCACGCCATCACACCACCTCACCACCTTTTCACGACGTCGAGAGCCTCTCGATCGACCCAAACTCTCACATGGGCGTGCGCGCTGCAGTCGGCATCTCCTGATGCTGGATACCTGTTACCCAATCCAACCCCAGGAGCCTGCACACCCCCGTTACGAGCATATCATGTCAGCGACCATGGCCTGCCGTATTGCCTGGGAGACCTGGTCCAGCCATGCAACAGATGCTGGAGCTCGAAGTCGGCGCCCCGTTGATTGGCTGGCTGGCCCAGAGCTCTCCAGCATTTTCGCCGCCTCGAAACCCCTCAGCAGCTGTCGGGATAATAGTCAGCTTGCTCACAATGCAGCCTGTGCATATCCGCGCATCACTCACTTGTAACCATGTTCGGCCACGTGCAGGGATTGACCAGCTGGGATTGAGGGAGCCCAGCAAACTTTGGCTTCGCGATGGGGCTCGGATCACTCACTGCAAGCGAGACATTGGAAAGTCAAGGCATCGCAGCTTGTCACTCGTTCTGCTCATCCTACATATCATGACGCTCTTCGGACCAGCATTGACACGCGGTGTCCGCCGCCGTCACAAACCACGTATTACCGTGCCTCGAGGTCGTACTCGTAGCTGAAGTCGTGATTCGTATATATTGTGCGTGCCTCACCTCGCCCTCGCCTTTCCCTCACTTCTCGCTCACTTCCCAACCGCCCTGCGTCACACCAAACTCAAATCCCTTCCACCACCACTGTCGCTCTTCTCTCACCTACTTCTCACCAGGCATTCACCATCTGTATCGCAATCAGGCGCCCTAACTGTGAGCCATGGGTTCCGTTGTCGAGGGTGATGTCTCCGTCGAGAGCATCTCGCCGTTCGGCAAGGCTCGCTCGACCATCAAGGACGCCCCTCTGAGTGAGGAAGAGCTGAAGCTCACCGATGATTACATGCGCGCCAGCTTGTATCTGTGCCTGGGTATGCTCTATCTCCGGCAGAACCCGCTGCTCAAAGAGCCCCTCAAAGTCGAGCATCTCAAAGCCCGGCTTCTCGGACATTGGGGTTCCGATGCCGGTCAAATCTTCACCTACGTGGCTATGAACCGGCTCATCAAGAAATACGACCTCGACGTCATCTTTATTTCGGGACCCGGCCACGGTGCGCCAGCAGTTATCTCCCAGGCCTATCTGGAGGGCGTCTACACCGAAGTCTACCCAGACAAATCAGAAGATGTCGAAGGACTGAGGAAGTTCTTCAAGCAGTTCTCGTTCCCAGGGGGCATTGGCAGTCATGCTACGCCCGAGACTCCAGGTAGTCTGCACGAAGGAGGTATGCATTCAATGACCCCATCGATATGCCACCTTTGCAACTAACATCCCTCTCGGCGAGCTCGGGTATAGCATTTCGCATGCATTCGGCACTGTTTTCGACCATCCGAATCTGATTGCTCTGACCATGGTTGGCGATGGAGAGTCCGAGACAGGACCTCTGGCGACTAGCTGGCATAGCACCAAGTTCCTGAACCCCATCACCGACGGCGCTGTTCTCCCCGTCCTCCACCTCAACGGCTACAAGATCAACAACCCGACACTCCTCGCCCGGATCAGTCACCGGGAGCTGGAAGCGCTTTTCATCGGATATGGATGGACTCCGTATTTCGTCGAGGGCAGTGATCCCATGAGTATGCACCAGGCCATGGCCGCCACTTTGGAGAAAGCAGTCCAAGACATCAGAGGCTACCAGAAGAAAGCGCGTGAGTCAGGGAAAGCATTCCGCCCACTGTGGCCCATGATCATTCTTCGGAGTCCCAAGGGATGGACGGGCCCGCGGACAGTTGACGGCCACTATCTCGAGGGCTACTGGCGAGCTCATCAGATTCCTCTTCCCAACGTCGCGTCCAGCCCGGAACACCTCAAACTCCTGGAGAAGTGGATGAAGAGCTACAACCCCGAGAGATACTTCACCGAGGACGGCAAACTGATCCCAGAGCTGAAAAAGGTTGCTCCGGAAGGCAACAGACGTATGAGTGCGAACCCGGTCGCCAATGGCGGACTGATCAAGAAACCCCTGCTTATGCCCGACTTCCGCGAGTACAGCCTGCCTGTCGAGAAAGGGGGTATCACGGACGCGCCCAGCATGTCCAATTTTGCCAACTTCCTTCGCGACATCATCCAGAAGAACCCTCACAACTTCCGACTGTTCGGTCCTGACGAGACCGAATCCAACAAGCTTGGCGGCGTGTACGCCGCCGGCAAGAAGGTCTGGTTGGGCGAATACTTTGACGAAGACGCGGACGGTGGCAATCTGGCATTTGAAGGTCGCGTCATGGAAATGCTCAGCGAGCACACCGTCGAGGGCTGGCTCGAGGGATACCTTTTGTCAGGCCGCCACGGCATGCTCAACAGCTACGAACCCTTCATCCACATCATCGACTCGATGGTGAACCAGCACTGTAAATGGATCGAGAAGTGCCTCGAGGTCGAGTGGCGCGCCAAGATTGCTTCGCTCAACATCCTCCTCACGGCCACCGTCTGGCGTCAAGACCACAACGGCTTCACGCACCAAGACCCGGGCTTCCTCGACGTCGTGTGCAACAAATCCCCCGAAGTCGTGCGCATCTACTTGCCGCCTGACGGGAATTGCCTCCTCTCCGTGATGGACCACTGCTTCCGCAGCAGCAACTACGTCAACGTCATTGTGGCCGACAAGCAGAACCACCTGCAATACTTGGACATGGAAGCCGCGATCGAGCACTGCACCAAGGGCGCCGGTATCTGGGACTGGGCCTCCAACGACCAAGGCGAGGAGCCGGACGTGGTCATGGCCTCCTGCGGCGACGTGCCCACCATGGAAGCCCTCGCCGCCACGGCCTTGCTGCGCGAATACATCCCCGAGCTGAAGATCCGATTCGTCAACGTGGTCGACCTGTTCAAGCTGATCCCGCACGGAGACCACCCGCACGGCATGACGCAGCGCGACTTTGAAGCCCTCTTCACGGCCAACAGACCCGTCATCTTCAACTTCCACTCCTACCCGTGGTTGATCCACCGGCTCACCGCCCAGCGACCGAGCCAACAAAACCTGCACGTCAGGGGCTACAATGAGAAAGGCAACATCGACACGCCCCTGGAGTTGGCCATCCGCAACCGCACCGATCGGTTCAGTCTCGCGATGGAGGCCCTGGACCGCATGCCTGAGCTGGGCAACAAGGGTTCCAGTGCGAGGGAGAAGCTGCTCAGCAGCCAGATCAAGTACCGCACCATCGCGTTCAACGAGGGCATCGACCCCGAGGAGATCAGGAATTGGAAATGGCCCTTTTAAGCAGGATAGACAGACTAGACGGTTGATGATTCGGTCTACGAGGCGCAAGCGGACTGTGGATGAGAAGAACGAGAATGCCAGCAGATAGGAAGGAGATGACGACGTGGTTTCTCGATCTCAAGGAAAAAACGAATTCGGGTGACAGACACAGCTTCTGCAGAATGGGGATAATAGGCAAATATGACATGAGACGTCGTATTCGCCTCAAGACCAGCTGTCCAACAGGGAGCTAAACATAGACTTGAGAACGACCTTTGTAAAATTGTCCTTCTGGCTACGGATGTCCGTGTCGAATGCTGGTCCGCTACCGTCTCCCACCAGTGCTGGTCTGGAAGCAAGGCTGACGTCCCAAGGGGGAACGGTGCTCTTACAGTATCTCCATTTATTGCATTACACACCACGTTTCGTATGCCGTATACACAATACTAACACATGTTACATGTGGCATGTGACATTCGTGCCCTCTTTCTCTCTGGCATGTCCCGTACAGCTCTTCCCACCTCCGGGTGAAGCTGTTCTAGGCGTAAAAGTCCAGGTGGCGCCGAGGCTCTCAAACTCCTCCAGTTGGTGGGGACGTTACTGTAGAATGTTGCACACAGCGTGACACTGATAGTAAACATGGCAGTTTGACGCTACAGACGATCTTCCTGTTTGCCCCGGACCTTGTATTTCATTTCATGACCTCCAAGTACAGCGTGTCGTCGAAACTCCATTCCCAACGTCTCCTTGTCTCTGCCCAAACCTGGAACGCCGTTGCTCGTGCCCACGCAACCAGTGAAACCATTTAGAACGACGTTGACATGCTCAGCACCATTTTCAAAATCCCCGGGTTGGCCGCTCTTCGCCCGCGTACCCTGTCGACTATGCTCCTTCACTGCCAAACTCTGCCGTCCACTCCGAGTTCTTCTTCAGGTCGTCCTGCGACACGGTCGGCCTCGAACCTTTGATTGCACGGATAAAGTCCTTCACGACCAGCGGGGGTTCCAGCAGTTTATCGGAGTCGACTTCCATCCATGTCATCTCCATCGCTCCCGCGTCACCTGGTGAGCATGGCGTTAATTTCTCTTCACCGTCGACCGTGACCTACAAACAGCGAGTCTGGTCAGCGTTTGTTCGTTCCCAGCAGGAACGGGGCAGTAAATTGAGAGCTGGCGCTGTGCTTACCTTCTTATAGTGTGTGGCAGTCTGAATTTTGCGTACGGGCTGCATCAGAGCGTCCTGCACGGCAATGCTGATATCGCTGCCAGAATACCCCTCTGACATCTCTGCCAGTTTCTTGTAATCATCTGGGCTCATCTCGCACTTGGTGTCTCCAACGGCAAGCTCAAACATGCGCATCCGTGCAGGTTTGTCCGGTAACGAGATGTGCACTCTTCGCTGGAATCGTCGGCGGATGGCGGCATCGAGCTGCCAGGGGATATTCGTGGCGCCGAGGATCAGCACCCCTCGAGAGTCCTTTCCCACGCCGTCCATTTGTACGAGCAATTCCGTCTTGATACGACGTGACGCCTCTGACTCGCCTTCACCTCGGGGACCGCAGAGTGCGTCGACTTCATCGATGAAGATGATGGCGGGCTTGTTTTCTCTCGCCATGTTGAAGAGCTGCTTTACCAGTCGTTCCGACTCACCCATCCATTTGCTGACCAGGTCGGAAGAGCTGACGCTGAAAAAGGTACTGTTTGCCTCGGTCGCCACGGCTTTTGCGAGGTACGATTTACCCGTCCCCGGGGGCCCGTATAATAATATACCCTTCCACGGCTGTCGCTTTCCTTGGAAAAGATGAGGGAACTTGATGGGCAAGATGACCGCCTCTTTTAATGCTTCTTTTGCGCCTTCGAGACCCGCCACGTCTTCCCACTTCACGTTCGGCTTGTCCGTCAAAATGGCACCCGTTAACTGCCCTCGCAGCTTCTTCGCGTCTGCATCCTCCTCATCCTTGTCGCCCGCCTCTCCCTTCCCGGCCCCGTTGACAGCTTTGCCGTTGACACCCATCGCGGCCGGCTTTTTGCGGTTACTCGAATCGTTCGCTTGGATGTGTTCTTTCAGCTTCTCGGCCCGGTCCATGTACTCGCCCGCCTTTGCGCGGATCATCTCCTTTGATTTGGCGTTCTTCTCCCATTTGATGGCGAGCATGAACAGTTCCAGCGCGGCATAGTACTGTTGATAGGCTTGATCGTAGGAGCCTGCGGTGTCGAGCTCGATCGCTTTCTTGACAGTGTCGATCGCCCGCCCGAGAAAATCCGTGTTAGACATATTGACCGGCGAGGCCTCGGACTGTGCGTCTTAGAGCCGAGAGAACGTGCGCGATGAGAGAATGACACGTTTTTGTGGGCGAAGGGTAAACAAGCGCTGGGGCGTTACAAAGATGCTTCGTGCTTAGGCGGGGCGTCGGGCGGTGAAGTCAGATCGTACTCTCGAAAATGAACCGCGCGTGTCTCCGAGCCTGCGATTGAGCAAATTTCCTCGCGCGTGTATATCGTTCTGCAACTTATTTGGGCAGCAAATTGAAAGCTCACGGAGAAGTGAAGGTGGGATGAACGTCGGCATTTGCCCCGCGGAATGACCTTACGCTGTGACACGCGCTAGACGCCGTCGTCTTTTCCCTTCCAGGCAGTTTACAGATCCGTTACAAATCTTTCTGCGCATCGCTCACACAGGGGGGCCACTCTGAGCAGGAGTCATGGAAGAGGACAGAGAAAAACTGCAGGTGCTTTCCGAGGCGCTACAGAAGATACAAGATGGTGAGTCAGTCGTCCACCGACCAATTCGTAGTGAAACCCTGGCGGGCGAGGCTAATATTAGTCTGGTGCCAGATCTTCAGTCGGCGGTCGAAGCACGCCAGAAGCTAGAAGCCCAACAACAGGAGAACAAAGGCGTGCGGAACGAATTCGCATCTCTCGCCGAAGATGCCGGCATCTACAGGCTGGTCGGCCCAGTGCTGCTGAAGCAAGACAAGACTGAGGCGGTCAGCACAGTCGATGGACGATTGGACTTTATCGGCAAGGAGATCGTCAGAACCGAAGGCAGGATCAAAGAGCTGCAAGAAGGAAGCGAGAAGAAGAGAGTCGAGCTGATGCAGCTACAGCAAAGGCTTCAGATGGCTGCGCAAGAGCAGGGAGCTGGCTGAACAGCATACTGCAGAGGACAGACAAAGCATGGAAGCCGCGCTGGAAGAATCTACCTCCCCAATCACCGTTCAACCCTCAGGCTGAGGAGCTTCATCCTGGCTTGCTTCAGTTCTGGGCGGGACCAGTATTCGCTTAAGAGTCGATGCGGCGGAAGTGGCATGTCGCATCCAGCAAGATACCGGACAACGAACCCGCTCCTTCTCTCACGATGAGGATTTGATCAAGTCCATCTGAAAGCTTGACACCCAAATTAGACTGGACGCATGCAGCAGAGTGGCCGAGCGACCAGCGTTCGCTTGGGGAGTTCGAGCTAGGGCATGGGAGGCTAGGAGGAAACCCCGCCGCTGTCAGAGGCCATTGTTATTGTCCGCGATGCCTTCACGGATTGCTTCTGAGGGAATAATTCCAGTGTGGTTGCAGTCGAATCCAGACAGCATTCGGGCTTAGCAGCACAGAGTCCGTGCTTGCTCTGGACAGAGACAAGGCAATTGGATGCCGAGAGACCTCAAATCCAGAAGCAACAAGACGCTTTGGCATGATGGCCGGGTCAAGTCCAATTCTCATAGCTGGAAGAAATACATAAACCTGCTCAAATCAAGTCCTACCCAAGTACCTCCTCTGTGACTGTTTTCTCTCGATCAGTGCTAAAGAAATGAACGCTTCCCCACCCGAGCAAGGCTGCGAGTCAGCCTCGCTGGCAGAGCAACGCTATACGCGGGCCGTAAAAGCATCCTTCCTCTGATTGGCGGAATGTAGTATAGTCTTGGCGGATAATTTTCGTGTCCGTCTTGACTCCAACTTTTCTACAGACCGTCTACCGTCCGAGCATAGCACTTGCCGCAAGCTCAATCTCTGGAATTTCTTGCTTCGACTTCGAGATGCCTCGTGAAGTCAAAAAACGAGGCCGACGCCACCAGGAAAAGGAACGAAGACACAGAGAACCAGACAGATATGAGCGATCTTCGAAGCGGTTTAAATCCGAGCACATCGCGGCAGAGGAGACCGCGGCAGAAGTGGCAGTGAGCGGCGATGCCGGTGACGACTTCATCGGATTCAACATTGAGCAACCGCGGGGTGTCGAGGAGCCGCAGGAAGAAGCTCAGTTCTACGGCCTGCTCGAACCTCAGGAACAAGAATATTACGCGAATGTGAACAACAAAATCGTGGCAAATGATTTTGAGTCGCCTGAAGACCGCGGCAACTTCATCGACGCAGTCCACCGGGAAACAGAGGGGAAAGAGCTCAAGGTTGCCTCAAGCCAATCATGTTCTCGTTATCTAGAAAAGATCATTATGCTCTCTACCCCCGAGCAACTGCGGCGACTATTCAGCATATTCGTGGGCAACCTCACCTATCTTGTGCGCCACCGATTCGGGAGTCATTGCTGCGAAACGTTATTCCTGCAAGCCGCAAAGCACGTGGAAAAGGACAACCCAAAGAAGAGCGCTGAGAGCGAAGATCTACCTTCGATGGAAACCCTCTACCTGCAAGCCACCGAGGAGTTGGAGCCAAACATGGGCTTTCTCCTCACTGAAAGATTTGCCTCGCACACTGTCCGTGTCCTGTTTCTTGTCCTGTCTGGCGACTCCCTGGACGACGAATCAGTGAAGACAATGCTTGCGAGCAGGAAGAAGGAAAAGCTGGATGCACCCGTGGAGAAGGAGTCGGTGTCGGAAAACGGACGCGTTGTCCCGAAGTCGTTCCGAACTGCGCTTGACAGACTCATCAGCAGTGGTGTCTCGGCCTTGGACACCACCTACCTGAGGGCACTGGCTACGCACCCGACTGGCAATCCTGTCCTGCAGCTACTGCTCCATCTCGAGCTCACCGGCCCTGGCAAGAACAAGTCGAGCGCTGAGAACTCTGTATTCAGGAAGCTCTTACCCGATGAACAGCTTGAAGAGGATTCAGAAAGCGCCAAATTCATTGCTGGGCTGGTCTACGATCCCGCTGGCTCACATCTGGTCGAGATTCTCGTCAAGGAGTTGCCGGGCAAAGCATTCAAGAAACTCTACAAGAATATCTTGAAATCACGGCTTCCAAGCATATGCAAGAACGACACGGCAAGCTATGTTGCCATTAGAATGCTGGAGCGACTGGGCAAAGATGACCTAGCCGAAGTGGAGGAATTGCTGCTGGCCGACTTACCGTTACTGATCTCGCGACGAAGGACCGGGCTAATCAGAGTCCTCGTGGAAAGATGCGCCGTTCGAGGTGTGGATCTGCAGGATGTGGCAGATGTAATCCGGACAGAATATACCAAGGACAACAGCGATTTCCTTTCGACCCTTCTCGATCTGCCGACCTCAGAAACAGCAGCAAAGCCCCATGATGTGGCTGAGGAGAAAGAGGCTGCCTCAAAGCAGGCGCATAGGACCGATGTCCATGGCTCACTGCTGGCACAGGCGATGTTGCGGGCCCCCCAAATGAGCCAACTCGTCCAAGAAAGCCTCGTAGCCGTGGATATGAGCACCCTCATTGCAATGTGTCAAGACCCGGCGTCTTCACGCGTCATACAGACAGCACTGGCGCCGACACAATTCAATCTCCCATTTCGAAGGCAATTTGTTCCTCGCTTTTACGGCCATATCGCGGCGCTGGCGCAGGACCTCACCGGTTCATATGTGGCGGATTCATTGTGGTCCGCTACAGAGGGCCTGCATTTTATGAAAGAAAGGCTGGCAGATGACCTTGCCAACCACGAATCCATGATCCGCGAATCGCCGTTCGGGCGGAACGTCTGGAAGAACTGGGCAATGGATATGTACCGTCGCCGACCCGGCGAATGGCGCGCACTAGCCAAGGGACAAGAACGCGATCAGCCACGAGATGCACCACCGCAGAGGCAGGGGCAGGGCGCCAGGCCGGGCCAGAATGAACCAGCCGGCGTGAAAAAGAAATCGGCGATCGAGCTTGCGCGAGAACGACATGCGCAGAAGAAGGCTCAGAGCACGAACAAGAGGCACACTCCTGCCACTTCGGCGAATGCAGTGGTTCCGACGAGGGCGTAGGGTTGCGCAACACAGTGTTATACGCAGTACGGAGTAGATCATCCTCGATCGAACCCCCAAATCCTCAGCCTCGTTCTCCACCAAATGGCGTCATTCGCTAATCCGAAAGATTTTTACTCATCTTCCAGGTTGGAGAGAACTTTTCGCTGGACCACCACTTTGTATAGAATAGAATAGAATAGACTTCTTCGTTCTTGACGCTGCATAGACTTTTGGGTTAGTTTCTTCGTTTCAATTGTTGTTTCGACATCCTAGATTCCCTACCTTTTGGAGCACGTTGACCTGCGCAGCCTCGATACTCATTGATACAGGACAATGGCAGACCGGCCATTCGGAGACAGCATCGACGCCCCAGAGTTGGATACTACACCACGAAACGGTCATGATGTAGGCGCATCGAACGGAACGAAGGCCAGCAGCCATTCGAGCGATTTCTTCTTTTCCAGGGCCGACGAACTGCAGAACCTCCTTGTCTCGGTCGTCGCGCGTCTCGTCCCTTTCGTCCAGCAAGCCGACCTGGAACGTAGAGCTCACCGGGACCACCAGCAAGTGCCGGCATCGTGTCTCGTGGAATCACACGCGCCGTCGGATCTGCTGGCCATTCTAGGCTCGAGTGGCGCCCTTTCCCTGTCCGACCACGGCACTGGTCAAGCTGGACTCGTCGAGACTCTATCAACCATATTGAAATATAGCGTCAATCCTTCGGCGCCGGGGTTCCTCGACAAGCTTTATGCCGCACCTCTGCCACCGGGGATTGTGGCGGAGCTGATCCTCGCCGTGCTGAACACAAACCTGCACGTGTACCAAGTGTCGCCTGTCCTTTCGCTCATCGAGACACACGTCACGACGACGCTCGCGCATATGTTCGGTTTCACAGGTCCACGGGCCGGTGGCATCAACGTCCAAGGCGGCAGCGCGAGCAACATGACCAGCATCGTGGTTGCGCGGAACACGCTGTTCCCGGAAACGAAACGGCTGGGGAACCACGCGACAGGCCGACAGCTCGTGATGTTCACGTCCGAGCATGGACATTACAGCATCGAGAAAGCAGCGCAGCAATGTGGCTTTGGCAGTGACAGCGTCGTGTCCGTCCCCGTCGATCCGCTCACGGGAGAAATGGACCCCCTGGCGCTCGAAGCACTGATAGTCAGAGAAAAGAGCCACGGCAAGACACCCTTCTACGTCAACGCCACGGCCGGGACGACCGTGCTTGGCTCCTTTGACCCTTTTGCCCCGATCGCGGAAGTCGCCAGGAGACACGGCCTGTGGATGCACATCGACGGTGCCTGGGGCGGCAGTTTCGTCTTCTCGGATTCTCTACGCTCCCGGACGCTCAGAGGCTGCGACCTTGCCGACAGCATTGCCATCAATCCGCACAAGATGATGGGCGTGCCGGTGACTTGCAGCTTCCTCTTGCTCAAGGACCTGAAACACGCGCACATGGCCAACACCCTTCGAGCAGGCTACTTGTTCCACGACAATGCCGGGGATGATGTGGATTCTTCTGCAAATACAGTGTCAGTCACGAACGGCGAGCATCCCGACAATGACGACGATTGGACTCCACCGGACGATCTTGCAGATCTGACGCTCCAATGCGGCCGACGAGGGGACAGCCTGAAACTGTTCCTGTCCTGGCAATACTACGGCACGGCCGGATACGCGAGCAAGGTCGAAAATGCATACTCGGTGGCATGCTACACGGCAGACCTTGTGGACAAGCATCCGAATCTGCTGCTCGTAAGCACGAACCCCCCGCCGTGTCTGCAGATATGCTTCTACTTCGCACCGGGAAAGAGGATGGTGCATGCTCCGAGCGATATTCCGCGGAGGAATGGCGGCAGCCACAACGAGGACCCGAAAAGCCAGGCCGCGAGGTTAGGCAAGCGCAACTCGGCGGTGACGAGCCGCATCGCCCACGCTCTGATCTCGAGAGGCTTCATGGTGGATTACGCGCCGGCCTTGAGCCATGAAGTGGACAAAGGTGCCTTCTTTCGAGTCGTTGTCAACATCTCCACCACCAGGGAGACGGTTGAAAGGCTGGTACATGAGATCGACCTCGCTGGGCGATTGGCTGTACCTGGGGATTCGGAGACCATCCCGAACAGTGGTTGAAAGAGCTATCAATCAGACTGATAGTGGCCCAGTGCAAGGGACTCGGAGGCTTCTTATCTCCCTTTGAGCTGAAAGCGTGAAGAGAGCTTAGAATGGCCAAATTGTGCGGAGAGAATGGGCGGCTGATCATCAGTGCCATAGTCAGTCAGCTCTACGCATGTGATGTGAACGCTGTCTTCTCGTTCGTCTTGGCGTTTACAGCTGAAGATGAGTATTAGGCATAGGCTAGGTGGCCAGGCCTATTTCATTGTCCTCTTCTCACAGCTCGCAGCTCTTCCAGTTCTCTACTCAGATGGAGCCGCGGTGACCTTCGACCCAAGATACCTACCTGCCTGCCTGCCTGTCCTCGGCGAGGAGATTTATGGCATGCACGGGCAGAGGCGAACAAGTCCAACAGAGGCGCCGGCGCCGGCGCCAGCCAGAAATGAGAGTAGGAACACACGACGACGACCAAATATAGGACAACAGATGTATCAGCATACCGTGCACGAGTCGTTAGGTGCTCTAGACGCTTGAACGCAGTTATATTTTGTCGCCGTGTTTAGCATATGGCTCTTCCTATGTTGCTGGGAGATCCTTGGTTGCAATATGCACTCTCGGTACTATATATTCACAGCCGCACCCACACCTCAGTGTACTACTACGTCCGATCAATCCACTGAATCCCGTGACCATCTGAACCCACACTGCTAGGAGTATCCATCAAAGAAGCCCCTCCCGGGTCAACTGAAACTTCCCGACATCGTCATGCTTGTACTCGGTCGGCTTTTTATTCGGATCCGTCTCGGATTCAGGGAGCATGTAGGACCGGAGCTTCACCTGCCCGGGATACGTTGCGCCCTTTGGCACCTCCCACGGGAAGATCCGCGCCATGGGGAATATGAAGCTCGCCTCGACCGTGTCGCGCATGTGCACACCCCACTTCGTCCGCGGGACGATGGACAGTTGCAGCTGACCCTCCTGGACGTCCCATTTCCGCGACAGGACGTTGTACCGTAGGTTGGAGAGCATGGTTGGCGCCGGCCCATCTGGGACGTCGCTGCGGAGCAGAGCGCGAGGGGTGGAGAAATCGTCGTCCGGCGGTCGGGGCTGGTCGAGCCCGGCGATCTTGATCGTCAGATCGAAATGCATGATACGGAGAGGCCACGCCTCAGGGTCGGTCCATTTGCCTCGGATGATGCTGAAGACGAGATCGAATGGACGATCGGCGTTTGTTGTGATGGCTTCATCCTTGGGTTTTCCCAGGCGGAATATCTTGAATTCGAATTCGGGCATGTCCATCGGAAGGACCGGCTTGTCTGGCAGCTTGGGGGAAATACCATGACCGAGCCTTATCGCCGGTTGTTCTGCTCGGCGTCGCGCCTCGTCAGGAGCGGACGGATCTTGACTTGATTTTGGCTTCGATTCGGGTTCAAGGGAAATCAGAGTAGGGGAAAAGGTGTGTGCCATGCGCGACACGGGCAGCTGGGATCTGGCCTTGATTTTGTCTCCCGGAAAAGGAGGCGGGTAGAATTGAAATCCCTTCGGCTCGTGCAATATCTGCCAGCTGTCTAATGACTCGTCATCAGTGTCTGGCGTTTGACCTTGCACCACGGGCTTTCGGGCGGTGATGACGAGAGTATATATCGGTTCGTTCAATTGCAGGGCAAAAACGGCAGCCGTCGGCGTGACATGGCGGTAGTCTTGGGTCTTTCGTGGCATGAAATTCTGTAGGTTTTGGTGCACCAGTTGCGCATACTGCTCGATCTTCAACGTCCTGGCATGCCAGTCAATAACCTGTGATGTGGGATAAGGATTTAGGTCAGGAACAATGACGAGGTTTTTACGGCGCTCTCTCACGTCTGGCTCGGGAAGAGCCTCATCGGCACCCGTGGCATAAATGCGTTTGAAGCGCAGATCCGCCTTCTCTGAAGTGAGACCAAAGGCGGCAATGAATGTTTGCTGATGCGCAGGCAAAGTAAAAGTTACGCTGGACAGCTTGGGAGGTTCGCGGTCGAGCAGTACCAGCATGATATCTGGCGCAAGTTTACGTTGGACCAGAATAGGAGCTTTAGGCTTTGCGTGCGCCCAATCTTCGCTGGTGTGAACGTCGTCTTTTTCCAGGGCGAATTCGGCGCCGACTGCGAGGTCTGGAAACTGTACTAGCAGTTGAGATCGCAACATGAAACCGTACGCCGGGATCTGCTGAAGATAATCACCAACCAGCGGAGTGGTTAGGTACCGGTTCAATGTCGCTTTCAATGAGCTGCGAGTGTAGTCCTCTTCCGGCACATCCGCGAGATGGTTCGCCAGACTGAGCGCCCCGTCCACCATCGCATCCAGCCAGTTGCCGTCAATGTGGAAGAAGCGCAGCGACTCGGGTGGGAGATGTGAGGGATCCGGCAATAAGTAGTGGGCAGGAATGCCGGCTAAGTGCAATCGATCAAGCACCCATTCTTGGACGACTGCATAGTCTGTGTTATTTGGAATGGAATGGTAGTTGTAAGGACCTCCGTCCGGAGTATTCGCCGTGCCGTCCTCGAGGTAGAAGAGAGAGTGAAAGGGCATCTGGTGATATACATGGTCGGATCGAAGACTGAACAGGTCAGCCTCTGATTCCAGGTCTGTCTGAGTCGATGGCATTAGGGATGGATCGCGTCGCCGCCAACGATTTGTCGAGAATGCCGTCCCAGCTTGCTCCACAGTTCCATTGATGCCATTCAAAGCTTGGACTATCTTGACCACATCAGCCTTGATCTCCTGACGTGGCATGTACGACACCCTTGGATTGGTGTCTGAAAAGACTGACTGTTTGACCTCGCGTCCATTTTCATCAGCCTCTTGTGTACCAGAGGCTCGTAGGCGCTTGAAGATGTCCTTTCTGGCACTCTCCAGGGCTGCTTGATGCACTTCGATGCGCAGCCTGGAAAGAGCGGCTGTGAATGCCGGATCTCCCATGGCCATGGTCTTACCTAATTGCCACGCGGACGCGTAGGAGAGATCCATCAGGCCTAAATCGGGATCGAGGATTTGTAGATCAGTCCCAAAATTGGATTGAAAGGACACTTTTTTGTGTAGCGGATAAGGAACTCTTGTTGGAGTCAAAGGTCCCCGGTAGATCGCTGCATTTTGTTCACCTGTGATGGTCCGATAGCGCGTGAGAGTGTACCCATCGATCTGCCTCTTGGTGATCAATTTGGCGATATCCGGCTCGGAGAACTTGTCGAAAACCTTCTCCCCTAGCGGGTCCACGGTCAGATCTGTTCGCAGTACTGACAGTCCAGCATCTTTTTTGCCCAGATGCTGTAACATACTCACAACATCGGGCGAGCCAGGTGGAAGAGCTGTGTAGGTCCAGCTGAAAAGACTCGTCATCAGAACGTGATCGCGATTTGCCACCAGATCCACACTTTTGGTGTCGATACCCTGAAGAGAGACCAGGTGTGCCATTACAGGAGTAGGGACGGTAATGGCGGTAGGACCCAGGCGATGAGAGACGACCATGGCCACGGTTTGTGTTCCTGATTGAGTGGGATCGCCATCGTTTTCCGCTCGGGCCGCTGACATGGTCCCTGCTGTCGACACGGTTCGCACATGTGACATGAATCGGAACGGGGCCACATCAAATTCTCCCGGTTTCTGCGCGGACGTGAAGAGCTGCCGAAAGACATCGCTGGACACCGGGATCACACTGGTTTGCGTTCCAGCTCTCTGATCCGGCACCGACGGTTTGGGGATGAAATTCGCAACCCGCGCATGGTCAATCTTTTCGATGCTGGACGCAGGCAGGTCCCAGCCGAGCGTATCATTCACCGTCGCGTTGACCTTGGAGAAATATGCCTGCCCAACATCCTCTCTGAGTTGTAGCTCGTCCGCCGAAAAAATGATCAGGGCGAACCAAGGGATCGAGTTGCCGTCGTTGTAGTCCTTCTTGCTCACGGGACGAATCCACGGCAGCTGCGGATCCTTGAGCACAAGGTGAGGCAGTGTGCGAAAGGAGGGTGCCGTTTCACCGGAGGCAGGAAAGGTTGAGAGCACCACGGCCGAGTCATCATCGTTATTGTTATTTGTGGTGTCACCGTTGGCTGCTGAAATGGCCCATTCTGGAGCCAGCACCTCGAAAGTACGATTTGCCGGAGTCGCTGAAACGCCAGGCTTCGCAGAGTCGGTGGTCACAGTCTGATCAATCTGGATCTTGTATTCGCCCGCTGGCAGAGAGGGAAGAAAATATGAAAAGAATTTGGCTTGTCCAGGAGCGAGAGCTGGGGCGGTATTGTTGATCATGTGACGTTCGTGTCGCAGCGTAATGTGACGGTATTGGCCTCGGAGCGACATTTTGGGGGCGTCAGTCAGTCACCGATCAAGCTTGAATCACAAGAGAGTGAGGTGTGAATTGCATTCAGAGGTCAAGCAGCACCGCTCACATTGTCATATGAAGGCCACTATCACCATCCGGTACCTCTTTTACGTCGTGCGCTCTCCTTTCATCGTCTCTCACCCTGGCCTCAAACGAGTCACTCCGACTCGTGCAGACCCGGGGCTAGACTGCAGATGTGTGTGATGGATGTGGACACATGGTCCCATCATGGCTGAAGCCTCAAGAGAAGCGGTCCATGATCACGGCAAGTTCACGCGAGCTGAAGGCGTCGAATGTGCATGGTCGTTCTCGCCTGCGCGGCGCATTGTGGCGTTGTCCTCATGCTAACTAGCTCATGCAGATACCCATCCTCGTTCAGCTGGACTGACTGAAGGTGGCGTTTTCGTTTCCACCATTCCCTCGAGACCAGGTTGAGGCCCGTACCATGCATACGCCATGACCACGCACTCACTTCCGGAACGACGGTACAATGGCAGCCCAACATATCAGGGACTTGGGCCATCTCGAAACAGACAAAGGTCCATTAGAAACGGGAGGGAAATTGACTTACTGGTTCGTCTGCTATTCTACCACAAACAGAGCTGCTCGCACTCCCTCCCAACATGGCGACTGATCAAAATGTCCTGATTCCAGTCAAGCTCGATGCCTTTGTCTTCAATGACCAGGTCTGTGCCGGAGGGCCAGGCAAGGCCAAGATCGCGCCCATCACTCAGCCCAACTATACCTTCCTCCGCCTCGACACGGCCTATCTGCAATCCGATATCATATACGATGTCGACATCCACAATGCCACTGGTGCGGACTCCAACGCTCGAATAACCGATCTTGGATCTGGCAAACGTCGTGCAAATCGTCGCGGTGTCTACCTCCACTGGACTCTTCCGCGAATTTATCGCAGCGGAACAGCTACAACCAACGACGGGGACAAAGCCAGTCAGTCCCTTCCCAAGTTCCCAGAGGTGCCTGTTCGGTGGATGATTGTGCGGTACATCGACGATATGTCCAAGGTGGAACCCCCTGCCGCCAGAACAAGCCTACAGCCAGTAACGGCATGGATTGTGGAAAGTAATCGCTGCAGGACGCTAGACGGGCCCCGAGACAGTTATGGGAAACCCACAGATCCCATCAACCTGCTCCCCAGCAATGCAGATCTCCAGGTAGACGTGTCCCCTTTTGTGGATGCGTCTTCAAGCTCAGGAGACCGCAGTATCCTGGACAAGCAAGCTGAAATCTTCATTGGAGACAAGACTAGTTCGACGGACTGGACGGAGACGGAAACAGACGACGCCAATAGCAACACAGTCGATCCTGGCACGAAAGCCGCTATCGACCCGAAATCAAGGATCGATCTTCGCTTGATGGGATCTTCAAATGAGCTATTTCCGGACTACCAGCTCCATTGCTCGAATGTGTTTTCCATTGTGGACAACTTCTTCTGCGGCAAAGACGCGCATGGTGAAGATCAGTTCGCCACGTCGGTGCGAGCTCATTACTCCGTCATAGGCTGGTACACCAAATCTGCCAGCGATGTTATTCAGGTTGCTGAAAAGCCAGGTGACATTAAACAAGGGGATGACCAGCCAAAAGCCAAATACCAGACTCGTGAGGAGCGACTCAATGAACTCAATATCAAGATCAAAGGATTCCAGGACGAAATCGAGCCCATGCCCAAGTATCCTCGAGAAATTACCGACTGGTTCTCTCGAAGCACAGGGGATGACAAGACACTTACACGCAGCATCTGTCACGGCGCCATGTACAACGTCCAGTGGGATCTCGCTACAGCACCAAAGAATGTCGCGGCAGACAAATTTGCCAAGTTGCTTTCAGAGAAGCAACCGATTGCTGTCGGTACGACCCCCCTCGACGCGGTCATGGCTTATGCAGGTGCGCATGAACGGATTAACGGCAAGGAGACTGGAAGGATAGAGGCGGCACTGAAGCGACTCGAGGCAATCCTCTTGAGTCGAGACGATGGTGTCGAAGCCCACGTTCAAGCCGCTGACATGATGTATAATTGGAACTACTTGAGGTTTGATGGAGGCGACATGTACCATGCCGCTGCAAGCGGTGATCAGTCGCAGGGCGAAGGCGGAAAGACGACACTACCGGCAGACAAGAAGCTCAACTTGCTAGAATTGAATCGCCTATGCCGTCTGAGGGATGCAGCAAAGAGACAACTGAAACAGCAACAAGCTGCGGCTTTTTCGAACTGGTGGCTCGCAGTTACCAATGCTCAAAAAGATAGTGAGATCAAAGCAAAAGTGGACAAGATTCAGAGAAGAGTCGACGCGTTGAAGGGAACCATTACGGCCTGCCAGATTCGGATTGACAAATTGACCGGCACAGCTTCAGGTGATGCGTCTCCTGACCCGAACAAGGTCAACGATTTTGAACCGGGAGTCTATGATCCTTACAAACAGCAACGCGACCCTACTCTGCTTGTCGGCGGAATACAATCTGGCTGGGAGGTGGATTATCTCCTTGCTTTACTCGTGCGCCTCGACTGCCAGATTGTCGAACCAGACGGCCAAGACGACGACAACTGGAAGGCCTTTTTTCGAACCTTCGTGGATGTCAAGCTCCAATCCTGGATGAGGGTCTCGGTCAAGGCTCTGCTCCGGGAGTTTGTCTCGATGCGACTACGACGGAAGGATGAAGACAACGGCCATCCCAAACAACCCAGCATGCTTATTGAGCGTGGGCTCCTCAGACCCGTCGAATATCGCCCGTTCGGTAACGGTGATCCTCACGCTGAGCCACCACCTCGACCAGTGTTGAAAGCTGAGATTCCTCTGTACCACGATAAGTTGGGCCGTGGTCTTGATAATGAGCCCCTGTGGCGCGATCTCTGGAACGATACTCAACCGTGGTTCCCACTCTTCCTGGAATGGGAGGTCGAGTACACCCACATTGGACTGGACGATTGGAGGTTGACGGAGTCAAAGTGGTGGCAGAGCGAGGGAGCGAAACTACATTATAACATCCACGGAAAGCTGGATTTGGCACGAAAGTACGACAAAACGCTGGACAAACGTGCGTTTTCAGGTAGGGTTTTGATCCTCCCTCAGCCGAGTTTCAGTCTCGAGACGAAGATTACGCAGCTCCTGGCCGATACACTGCCGTCGGAGCTGGAAGAGTACCTCCCGAAAGAGGAACGGGAATATCTCGTTCAACATCTGAAAGATCTTCGTTATCTTTCCGCGCCTTTGGGGGGCTTCAACGGCCATTTGCAAACCACAGATGCAGGCAATCACGTCAAGCCCTCGATTCGAGACCCAGTCAAGGGTACCCTCACATTCATGGCCGAGGCCAGACGTGTTGACGCTGGATTTGACGAACTAAAGATGCCCGTCATGGAGCTGGAAACGGACGTGACCCCTTACGGTACTGCGAGAAAGCCTCTTGGAGGTAAAGATCCTCCATCCTCATTCAAACCGGTGGTTCATGGACAATTCAAATTGACCAGGCTCAACATTGTTGATAAGTTTGGTCAAGTGATTCATCTGCTCAGCCCGGAACCCGTTCCATACAGGCCTAAGCCGGAGGAGATACCTCGGGCATACCCCTGTCTCAGTGACTGGTATTCCCCCGAGGCGAAGATCACTGCAACACACAAGACCGTTCCCAACACTGTCGAAGATGTCCTGGATGAGAACAAACCACAATGCGAGTTTGCGCAGGTGCCGCCGCAAATAGGCCAGCCTGTTCGTCTCAATGCTCGCTGGGTTCTTCCACATGAGCCAGAAATCTCCACTGTCCCGGCCATGCGGGCAATAGAGCCAGAGGAGCATCCACCCTTTTGGAGAGCCGCCAATGACTGGGACTCTCCCATATGGGGTTGGGTGGTTGTCAACTATGCCAACTACGGTTTGCAATTCTTCCTCCCTTCGGGAGCATTTTATCGTGAAGTGCGTATCGGCGGACCAAGCGGTGCTCTCGCCTCCCCTGAGTGGCTTCCGTTCAAGGAGCCGGACGATCCTGACTCGCGAGGCGGACAGGGGGACGGTGGTCAAGCCGCTCGACAGCTTGCGCGCCTGGTAGAGGCCGTGGCAACCCTTCGTGGCTACCTCCCCGCATTCATGGCCATGGTTAACGCTGCAAGTGCATCAACGGGTACTGCCCCACCGAGTGCGTACTCTGAGTTCAAGAGCGCCTTGATTGGCAAGCCTCTCGCGCTGGTCAACATGGGTTGGTCTCTGGAGTTGGCCGAATTCCAAACAGAGTCTCGTCTCGTCAACGATGGCAAAGTTGACCGAAAGCTATACGCTCAACCTGTCACAAGGAAAGCACCCGGGCCGGGCTGTGAGAAGAATGATGAGTATGACGAGGAATACTATCGCTTTCCGGTCAAACTGGGTGATCGGCAACGCGGCTTCGACGGACTGGTCGGGTATTTCAAACCCAAGCCGACAGCAGATCTCAAGATTGGCGATGCCCTGGAGCTCAGCACAGTGTACACACATTTCTCACCCACTACCACTCTCTTTGAGATGGAACTTCAAAAATTGTCGTCCCGGTCAAGGTCGGAACCAGAAGTTGGCCGAATCTCTCCAATTACTCCCGACACCTATCCGAAGCTGGCTCCTTACTACATAGACCCATTCGACGACGATTCGGGAGAGGGCATCGAGGCACAGACTTACAGCGATATCTCCAACGAGCAGCTCTGCGTCTTTGGCGCCATTGTCGACCCGTTTTCGCCGGTCCACGCCTGGTCTGGCATCCTACCCGTGAAGGATCTTGTCCTGCCGAACTGGACCTGGCAGGGTCCAATCGATCAGGTGTCGGCGTTCTTCCATGCCGGTCCTGTCCTTGTGACTAGCGATGTCCCAGACTTTGACGCGAAGCAAGAGCTAAAGCAGGGAAAGCTGATACCCAAAGTCGTCGACAAGAAGCAGCCGGACGAGGCCGTCGCTCTGCCCGGTGGCTCTCTTGGGCAATGGACTTGGCTACAGCCGTACATGCCTGAAAAGGAAGGTCGGACCAGTGAAGAGAATCTAGAACAGTTCATGCCGTTGTCGGTGGATTTGGTGGACGAAGCGGCGCGCCTTGAAAGGGGTCCGTACACGCTGTTGGAGGGGTATCTGCAGATGGCGTCTGGGGCGGTGAACACCGATAAGTGAGTCGTTTGCTCCGTACGGAGTACAGTTCGATGCGGATGTGATGGAAACGAGATTTCTGCGTAGCGCGACAATGCATCTACACAGTCGAGTACGTAAAAGAACACGATGTGCACCATCTGCCCCGGATGCAATGAAACATCACAGCGGATATCCGTGTGGCTGGCTGAACACAGACACGCATGGCATGCTCACCAGACAGCGGGCCTGCTGGATTGGTCCACGGACCTCATGAACAAGCGACCAGCGGAATGCTAACGAGATCAATAGTCAGAGAGTCTCGCCGAATCAATCTTCGAATGAGGTATTCCATTTACCCCCAGACCGAGTCGGCAAGGCTTGCCAATCGTCTTGCAACGGCAAGGATCGTGGCTTCTCTCGGCAAAAGTCCCGCCGGCCTCGTTTTCAAGTCTCATGCAGTATTAAGTACGGGGAAGATGCATCGCCGCAACCGATCGAGCCGCTGTGGTAGCCGGAGTCTCGACCTTCTGCTAAATGCCATTTCGAAGGGGATGGGCAAACTTTCTTCAGCCAGAGAAGTCAAACCGCTCTCGAAACGTCCTCCGTAAGCGAGGCTTGGTCGGCTAGCCTTATTTCGAAGCTGCTCTCATTCTACTCTCGTCCTAGTAGATGGCTGTGGCTTCAGTCTACCCCGAATCCGCACGCGTGCGTTTGTTTCCACACACATAAACTGGCGTCTCGCCCGCACGAGCCGGCTTGCTTGTGGCCTTCCCATGTGGCGGGCTGAGATGGAGTCGACGACAAGAAGCGTCGTCACCCATATCACCTGTCAGTTAATGGTCCTTCGAAGTCTATTCTCTGTTCCCCGTCCTTTCGATGGCTGTCCCGCCGGGTGGTGTGGTGCAATATCTGACGCTTGGTTGGTGCTTGGGCATCTGTTCGCGGACGCCGTGCTGAGAAAGCCTTTCAGCTGGGCTTGAATATGTCGAGATCTAGCTCCAGAATAGCCGGACAGCGGCATGGAAATGCGTGGCGTCAATGCGGTGACGCTGAAATGTCGCCGGTACACGTTGGTTCCAGATGTTCTGTGCGACAGCCTACGTCCAGAACACCATACAACACAACAACTTGGTTCAGGATCATACAAATACCTCGTCGAATCGATCTCGCAAAGAGTCTCACTCAACACTTTTGGAGTTCGAAAGGTGACCACATCTTGACGTTGCTCCTTGCAGACACTTGCGTAGCCAAACGGCACCACTCCACCTCACTTTGACTGGAGCATTTCCAAATCATCCATCGCTATGTCTCAGAACGTCAACTTCTCGCCCATTCGGAACCCAGCCAACCCGGAACGAGTCTTCGTTTACCGTGTGGCGCCCACGGTACAGACTTTGGGCTATGACCAGCGAACGGTGGGCAAGGGACCAGCCAACCCACGATGGAACAAGGATCCCACCAAACTTCCGAGTACTCGGCTCCTGGCAGCATCCAACATTGTAACGCTCAACTTTGATGATGTCGTACGTCCAAAGTCCTCGCAAATTGGTGCTGTCGAATCATGTGAAGCTTACGTTCCATGACGCATTCTAGGTCCATGTCTATGGCGTAGCACAAACCAGCACTTTGGTCTCTTTGTTAAGCCCATTCACCGAAGTAGTCGGCGCTGAAACCAAAGCTCCCCATGGTGCTCTGGCAGGCTGTGCTGTTACTGAGGGCGACGCAGTGCAGGCTTGGCTGGCTTACCAAGGGTTCGTTTTGATTCCAGGAACCGTTGGACTCGAGATGTATTCTAACTGAGCTCATTTGCTGCAGCTCCGATGGCACGAAAGAACCTCTCATGTGGACCGATGTTACCGATGCTGATGCCCAGGATAAACCTTCAACGGCGAAGTATCCGATGAGCGGGACCGCCCTGAGTGTTTTCCATGACACCAAGCGCTATTGGCTCATCTACCAGAACGACGACGGCAAGCTCGTCGCACAAAATGAAAAGGATCAAATAGGTACGCTCACTGCAAAGCGGATCAGCCGTCGCTGTCGATACTAAACTGGCGCTTGTCTACAGGGTCTGAAATCCACGCAGAGAAATCGAACTTCATCGAGAAAACTCCCATCGGGACTTGCTTCATTCCGGGCTACAAAGAGGGGACCTTGGGACGTGCCATCGTCTACTGGGTCCGGCTGACCAACCAAGCTAACGTCCTGTACCGTTCGCACGCCGACATCACCGACGCCAAAACTGCGACCTGGAGCGACCCCAAGCCCGCGACTAGTGCCGGCCAGACCGTCCAGCCGCTGGCACAGATTGGAGTCATCACGGAGAATAAGACAAAGTCCAACTGGGTGTACGTGGCCAAGGAAGGCAAAGACAACATTACGGCTGTGAGCGACCCGTGGCAAGCCAAGGAGGAGTGACTCCACGAACACAGAGAGTGGGAGGAGTTCCAGAGATGGAAAGCTGAACGCGACCGTCACAGGAGAAGAGGGGGGCACGGCCGCACGGGTGGTGAGACTACCAATGTGACGCGTCTGTCTTCTGGGTGGGCCGAAGCTGAAGTCGAAGTGATTCTTCCCGCCGGTACCATCGTTACAGGCGACATCAAAGTCAAATTCAAGCTTAGGTCTCTCCAGCAAGAAGACGAGGATAGGAATTAATCAATGGTGCCGGAAATTGACTGTAACGAACTTTTCGTTGCACCACGATCACCAACACCAGTTTCGTCGTGCCCGTGTAGGCTGCTCTCTCATAGATTCAATAATGGTACGTGATGGGGCAGGTAGTTATTACGGTGCGGCAATGCGGCGCTTGCGCCGTACGGAGGACTATGTACTCCATACAGTATAGCAGATTGCCCCTCGTGTAAACTTGCCTGGTGATCACGGCAGCAGCCGCCGCGTTGGACTTTCCTCATCAATGGAGCTAGGTCATTTCCAACTCTAGCGCCGGGAGTCCCGCGCCTAGCCCTCTTTAGCACCAGCTCCGGCGCTATTGTCTTTCATTCAGACACGCCACAACAGTTCCAGACGTGTCTCTACCATCATCCTTTCTGCACGATTGACAGAAAGCTCCCTGCTCGCTACGAGGATCACACGTGGTGGCTTGCGTTGCTGACCCCTCAGCTGAATCGGCGCACGCAGTTACCATTTCCTCAAGCTACGCTGGGAGTCTCGATGGACGTCTGCGAAGTTGTCGAGGCAGAGGGGGTCTGTGCAGTACGGAGTGCGGCTCGCTGCTTGAAGATTCCCCTCCTGTCTCGTTATGGATGGGTTCTCATGGGTCGTCGACCTCTCCGAGCCCAGCGAGACACGACAGACCTTCCATTGTCCTGTGTCTGTCTATCACCCATTTCATTCCACCAATTCAACGATTTCCTTCTAATCGAGTTGGTTCCATACTTCCAAAGCCCAACCCCAGCCCGCCGTCTTCATTGAGGCGGATTAGCACACCTTGTCACTGACATTTGCCAAATCATCTTGTTCTTGCTTGCAAGTCAACCTTCCCCACCGAGGCGCGAGATCTTGTTATATGACCCATCCTTGCCCAGCTACAAGAAACCAGCGTCTCCACGACTTCGGGGCCTCGTTGCCCTGTCCCAAGACGAGGAAAAGCAGCTCAAATGTCGTACTATCAGTTTGATTCATTTCATGTCAATGTCGGCAGTGGCGATGGCGCCATCCATATCCTCTCGTCTCCACTGCAAAATGGAGGGCGAAAGGTCGAGCGAGCATTCTTTATAGATGGTGGACGGACCACGGCCAAGGCCTACATCAATCTCACGATCGCGCGGATCCAAGAACACTTTTTCTGTCCAAATCCATACGACGATGGAAGCTTTCTCATGTTTGACGCGTTCGTCATAACGCATTGGGATGGCGATCATTACGATGGCGTCATTGCCTTCCTCAAGGATGAATTGGTTCATGTCGATAACCGGCAGGATCCCGAGGCGTACTACATAAGGCGCGCATGGTATGGATGGCCAACCAACCCGACCGATCCCAAGCAACCGCACACTGTTATATACACGCCATGGAAGTGGCTCGGGGGAAACGGGTTCAGTGTCATCGGCAATCACCTGGCACGGGAAAACTTATTCGGCACCGGGTATATTGGCACGAATCTCTTGGTCGTTCGAACCAACTTCGAGAACCTACTTGGACGCAATTTCCTCGCACAGGACCAACAGGGAGGAACGCCGCTGGATCTCAACAACATGAAAACATTGCCCGCTCTCCTCCAAATGAATCCGGTTGAGAACCCCGTACAGGGTGTTGGAGAGAACTTTGAGAGCTGGCCAGCAATGTACTGCATTGCTGCAGAAGGGATGCCGCTCACCCGAAAGAAACTACCTCTGGGACATCACACCGCCAAGAACATGTCGAGCATTGTGTTTATTCTGATATGGAGGATTCGACCCAACCCCGAACGGTACATCATTTCGCATTACTTCGCGGGGGATGCACCTGGGAATCTGGAATTGGAGCTTAAGAACTTCATGGATGGTTGGGCGCCCATCTCGATGAAGCTGAGCCATCACGGTTCTGCATCGTCGAATCCGGCCTCCAACTTCCTTGCCTGGAACCCTACTAATATCGTAGTCTCAGCGGGAGTGCAGTACGGCCATCCAAGTACGTCCTTGTTCAACCTTCTGTGGTTCCATTTTGCTAAAGACGGCTAACCTTGGACCAGGATGGGAAATCCTGTTTGCGATGGATGCATGGTTTCGACATGAACAAGCCAACAACGGTGGGAAGGCTCGTCCTTTCTACCCTTGCCAGTGGCCGTCTTACCTTGTGCAGAATGCGGCAGACGCATACATGCACCAAGGATTCAGCATCGCTGAGCTCAAGAATAACGACCCTTCAGGTTTCGTTCGGTTTGTTATGAAGAATCATGAACAAATGCGTGACGAGCGCATCATGTCCGGACAGGGATTGTATCTGGACAACCCCGTTACGATGGTCGATGTTAGAAGGACACTTTTCAAAGACCGCTATGGGTATGAGGCACCTGATGCGGAAGTCAAGCAATGGGTTTCTGAATCCATCGAGATCATGATGACTAATTTGAGTCCATTGCCCCGTGATGGTCAAATAGCCGACGAAGTCTGTGTCGGATACAAGGGATACATGTCTTTTTTCGGGTTGTATTATGAGGAACCCGTATACGAAACTGTGCCATGGTCGGACGTTGTTGCCATCCAAGTGACGGCCGTACCAGAAACTGGGAAGCTCGGCCAAATTGCGATCATAGGAATCAACGGACTAGGGATGCTTACTGACAGACGATTTGGGGCTGTGGATACTGTGGCCGAAAAGTCGGAAGTATTGCTGCCTGCCACCTGCTCTTCGGCGCTTGGTCTGGCAAACCTCACAGGTCCAGGCACAGCAGTTGCCGTGAGTCCCTATTCATTCAAAGGAGACGATCGTCCCAAGGCGATTGACACCTCAACCGGCAATCCAAAATGGCCAGCTAAGAGTGAGTTGGGACACCTGGACGAGCCCCGGTCTCGGCACAAGGGCCAGGACGCACGACGCACTGCGACGGGTCTTCAAGCCGGCAAGGATGACTACTCTCTGGAACCGTGGATTGAGGTTCGTGGTGCCGAAGACTGGAGTTTCCTGTCCTCGGACTCGGAAGGAGAAACGGATGGCGATGATGAAAGTGAATTGTTCAATCGGTTATCCCTCAACGGCAGAACTCAGAAGTTGGGCGTTCTCGCTGAACCACAGATGCGGGCTCCAGTGATTTACCGAGAGGTCCCCACGCACATCACTAAGGCAGCAGTGTATCTGGCTTGTGAGAAGGTGAATTTTCCAGAAGGCAGTCAGGGGTACATCCTCCTCAAGGACCAGCCCATTTACGGCTTCACCGATACCCTGCATTATCGAGGCTTTGGTCTCGCTGAGGTTCCCGACAAGGTTCACAACACGCCACTGGACCCCGACGATGAACTGTATCACTGGCTTGGTACTTTCTGCGGATGGGACACGAACCAGCCTGTTCCCAATGGCTTTGCCCTTAGCATGTGCAAAGTCGCCGACTGGCCAATCGACCCGAGCAAGAAAGAAAAACAAGACTTTGCAATGACGGTGCCTTATATCGACGGGCAACGGCTCCAATTTAGCACCAGCACCGGCGCAGAATACACCTTTTCCAAGGTTGAAGAAGGCGACAAGACTGATAAGTCCGTCACAGCGACTTCCCTGCGAAATATGCACATCAGCCGACGGTCTTTGATATTTGGATTAGAGGATAGCGCCGCACTGTTGAAGACGACTCTGGCGGATATCGCCAAGTTCATCCGCCTTGATTTGGATCGTTATCCTCTGCTCAAATTCCTCGGCTCGCAGATGAAGCTCACCCTGGACACGAAAAAGGACTTTCACAATGCCTTGTGGTTCCGACCGGGGTTGGAGTACGAGACCATCCTCCGATTGCAGTTCCGTATGGACATGACGAAGTTCAATGAATGGCTTCACACATTCAATGCTAACCTGTCCGTGGACGACGTTTTGTTGATTGCCCGCAAAAGAGCGGCCTGGATGTGGAAAACGAAACAGGACGGCGCATCCTTCAACAGCTCCATTGCCTGCTTATGCCGCATGACGATCTCGTCCAGCCTCCAGCTTACTGGCGTGTTCGAGCTTTCCCAGACTGCCGTGATGCTGACATTGACCTTAGACAGCTCTTCGGGCACAGCTGAGAATAAGGCTCTCCGAGGGCGCAACGGTGCTGTGAGCAGCATCATTCAGTGGCTGACTGATAAGTTCAGCATCACGAAAGCGTCGGAACTGGATGAGTTGCTCAAACGGGCTGCCGACTCAAATTCAGGTGCACTGGACAATGACAGTATCTTACCTCGGAGAGTGCAGGTGGTACTTGACGTTGATGCGAATGGCAAGATCTCAGGTGTCAGTGCTGCAACAATAGATATCGAGGTATGCTTGACTGTTGGACGTCCGGAAGCGGCAGTGCTGGCGAAGATGCCCATCGTGTTCCTCTTCTCTTTTGGGTGGAATAAGACTTCGGGGTTCTATCTCAAAGGCAAACTTTGGACAGGTGAACGCCCCTATTGTGTTGGTCGTGAAATGTCCTCGACGTTGTTTGAATGCTGACTTTCTTGAAACACGATCAAGTCATTCCCGATACTCCCTTCACACCTTACGACCGGGCACTTCCTGGCTTCGAAGAATTCCAACTTATCAAACCTGTATCACCCGTTGACCCCCAGAATCAACAGCGAACCCTCGATCTAGCTCGCCTCCTTTCGGCCAAGGAAAGTGACGTTCAGAATTTTCCTGCTGGTATCCCCAACAGAATCAATCGTTGCGAGATTGAGATATCTCAGAAGAACATTGGATTCAAAGGAGCCGTCCGATGCTCGCCTCCTGAAGATAGCGGTCAAACGACCCCACCACTGATTTCGCTTGACGAACTGGAACTCGAAGCATCGTACACGTGGGGAACAAAATCGCCTTCTGATGACGGCTTCAAACTTCGTTTGGCCATTGCGGTCAATTTGTACTTGGGCGGCAAACTGGATGAGAAGAAGGACCTTGATGAACAATACAACGCTGCTACCAAACTGCTTGGCGAAGTGAAATACGACAAGGGCGCTTGGAGTATCGAGGCTTCCGTGATCAACCTCTCTTTCTCGCACCTGATCAACTTTTGGGACACCGCGGATCGAGGTCCTATAATGGATTTTCTGTCGCAAATCAACATTGACTTCGTGACGGTCAAGTACGAATTTGGAAACAAGGGTAAAAATGCTGGGCTCCCGAGCAGTCTCCAGATCCTCGGCCAGTTCACGATCGCCGACGTTGCAGAGCTGACGCTGGACTACTCCAACCCCGGGGGCGATCGATGGACGTTGACGGCCGGCTTGGGACCTTCTGCAAAGACCAAAGATGCAGCAACCGTGGGCAAGCTACTAGCCGGCTTCATGGGAGAAGACGTGATTGCTCTGTTTCCTGATGCCATCAAGTCTGCCAAGATTGAAGGTGCCGACGGTCAAAAGGCTCTCCGCGTTATATGTGCCAAAACAAAAGGGGTGACGATCTTTGCGTGCCTCGTCAACGTGGGAAAGGTTTCAGTTTGGTTCTTGCAACTACGACAGGGCGACGCCGCCCCGAAGAGATTGCTCAAAGCAACGGTCAGTAAGGTCTCGGTCGAGGTGCCGGCACTTCACGCCACGTTGAACAGTCCCTGGGAAGATTTGTTCTTCATGTGGGTCCAAGATACCACCAAGAGAGAGGTGGGCGATAATGCTCTGCCGGGCATCACCCAGCAGGAATACGACAGTCTGGCTGAAGTGTTGAAGACCCAAGCCTCGATAGCCGATCAAGAGTTGTTATTGTTCAAACCTCGAGCGAAGAGGCAAACGAATTCTTCGACCTCTGGCCTGTGCACGTTCGATGACCCTCCCATCGATAAGACCACGGTCATTCCGGCTGGATATCACCTTGTGGTTGTCGCCAAAGACACTACTGGAAAGGTCGGTGTCGTCTTGGACTATCTTTTTAAACAAGCTGTGAAAAGGACAGCTCCAGAAGATCGTCTCGCTCTGGCAGAGCTCGCTCCTCCGGATCCAAGTGGTTCAGAAAAGGGCACAAAGGCTCCTTATCAGGCCAAGCTGGGCCCTCTGTCGGTGAGCAACATTGGCCTCTGGTTTAAAGATGGCATGATTGGGATCAACCTTGACGCCACGCTTTCAATGGGCCCCATCGGGCTCTCCCTCCTGGGCTTCAGCATTGGAGTGCCCTTCTCCGGGAAACATTCTCTCGACAATCCTCCTTCGATCAGTGAAGTGCAATGGGGCCTCAAAGGGTTGATTGTCGCACTCGATCGCCCTCCACTGACAGTTGCAGGTGGGTTCATGCGCGACACGTCCGACCCAAAAGTTCCAATCATGTATACGGGTGGTCTTGTCGTGACATTTAAGCCGTGGTCGCTCGAGGCCATGGGAGCGTTCGCGACAGTGAAGAAAACCCCCACGCCATCGAGCCAATGGATCACTACTATCGATATGAAGCCCTTGAACCAATGGTGCCTGTCGTCTGGTCACGATACCGACGAACTGGTGGAATTTGGAGATGCCAAAGAGTTCACCTTTGCATTCATATTCGTCAAGCTGAACGGTCCTCTTTTCTCGGTCGGGTTCGCCGACGTCGCCGGTCTGGTCGGTGGCTTTGGAATGAACTCAGACATCCTGCTCCCCACGGTCGAGCAGGTGGTCAACTTCCCTTTCGTTAAGGAACGAGACAATACAAAGCAACAGTCAATAGTGGAACGGATGCAGAACCTGATGGACGGACCCTGGTTTACGCCCGCCGAGGGACGCTACTGGGCCGCGGCCGGCCTACGCGTGACGGCATTCCAGATGATCGCTGCCAACCTGGTTCTGGTCATCCAGTTTGGAAATGGTTCGTTCCTCGTCGGCCTCTTTGGTGTGGCCACATGCGACGTGCCTTCTCTGGAGTCTCCGGTCAAGTTCGCTCACGTGGAGCTGGGCATTGTTTGCACGTTTGACAGCAACAGTGGGATCTTCAAGCTCGAGGCACAGCTGTCACCTCGTTCATTCATTCTGGCTCCCCAGTGCCATTTGACTGGAGGCATGGCATTGTTCGCCTGGTCCAAGGGGGATTATAGTGACGCTGATCCCAACCAGAGGGTCGAGGCTGGCGACTGGGTCTTTACCATTGGCGGGTACCATCGAGCGTTCCACCCGCCACGTGCTTATCCCCGTCCTCCGCGTCTCGGAATCAGCTGGTCTCTGGACAGTAGTCTGAGCATTACGGGAGAGGCGTACTTCGCGTTGACTCCCAAAGTCCTGATGGGCGGAGGACGAATTCATGCGGCGTTGAGCCTCGGCGCGCTATATGCGTACTTTGATGCGTTCCTGGACTTCCTTATGAACTTTGAACCGTTCTTCTTTCAGTTGCAGGCTCGAATTGCCGTGGGAGTGCGTTTCACACTCGACCTGTGGCTCGTCACGATCCGGATCAATGCTGAAATCAGCGCGTCGTTAGATTTCAAGGGACCACCCTTCGGAGGAGTCGTACACGTCGACTTTTGGGTGTTTGGATTCGACATCAAATTTGGCTCACCACCATCTCCTCCGCCACCCATTTCCCTGGAGCGGTTCTGGGCTGTTGTCATCAAGTCTGGTGCCTCCGGAAAGAGTCTTCTCGCAGCACCAATTCCTGAAGCCGATGGGCATGGAAACATCAACACAGCAGACTCAGCGGACACAGCTGCAATTTTGCTCACGTGTGAGACCGGGTTATTGCCGCCTCTAGAAAAAGAGCAAGCTTCAAAGGCAGAGCATCTCCATGCCAAGGATGAGGACTCTGGTACGTGGTATGTCAAAGGCGGCAAGTTCTCCATGCTGGCGACTTTCCAGTTCGCATTGAACAGTGCGAGACTCACCGAAAAACGCACCATCCTTGATCAGTCAGGCAAGGAAATCGCAGAGGAACGCGCCTCGGATGCGCCGATCGACAACAAGTACAAAGCCGTGTATGCCAAGCCCATGCAACTCGCTTCCACCCCTTTGACCTCAGCGGTCACGATCAGCGTGAAGGCCCCCACACCCAAGGGTCTAGCAACGGTGCATATCATGGAGACATGGAAGGATCAGCGCTGGAAACTCGGAACACGAATCTCGCCCATGCCGAGCTCGATCTGGGGCGAGTACGACCGCAACCTCGACCCCAGTGTCGTCGGAGGTGCCATCGACAGTCTATTGAACGGCAAGGACGCGACCGTGGCCCTCGTGACGGGGGTGACGATGGTTCCCCCGGACCCCGCGCGCGCAGGGGACGTGATCAACAAATTCAACGTCACCAGTGACCACGTCAGTACCGTGTACGAGCCCCAGAAGCCTGACTGGCCGTTATTCATCGGTGTTCTCGAAGAGCAAGACAAGGCGTGGACCCCGCGCGGCCGTAGCTTCAAATGGGACGAGGTCCGCGACAAATGGCGCTCCGTCGGGGACGAAACGACGACCAAGGCAGTGGACCTCTGGGCCAAGCGGCTCCGATTTGACAAGGACAGTGTCGAGGCAGACCAGAAGGATGAGAGGCTCAAGGGCAAGTTCAAGCCGTTGCGAGGAGTCGCGCCGAAAAAGCTACTGTGCAAGTTTGACCTTTTGGTTCCTGCGTTGCCGATGATTGCTGTGGGAAGTCACAGTACGGAGTAATTAGGCGACGCATGCTTGCCCTGGCGGTACAGAGGGTGATTCATTCGCTGTGCGCTGAGGATTGATTTTGACATGCATCATGTCAAGTTTGATTAGTATATATGTATTGGCTGTAGTTTTACAATAATCTGAGTGTGGCTGGCTCTTCACTGCTCGTACCAGTATTGTAAGCATAGGCAGCGGTTCCAGCTTTGGTTTCAGAGTTTTGATGACCGTCCGAGCCTTGCAAGGCTCATGTGGTTTACAGTAGAGAACTGGAGAAATTCTGACGGCCGGATACTTCTGTTTTGTTCACGTCCGTGGAAGTGGGCTAGTTTATCTCAAGTGGCTGCCGTGGTGTCGTGGTGTCGTGGGTGTATACATGAGGCTGAGGCTTGCCGTCCTTGATGTGAGCATACTGTACTACGTACATAAGTGAGCGATGCCTTGGCTAGTTTCGAGCAAGAGGTTCGAGCCTTACTGCGACTCCGGATGGATCGAGAAGACGAACCCTTTAGTTATCCCCCTACTCGCACGCAGCCGATCGTCTTCAGAGAACGCGCCTTGGGTCGAAAATCTCCCTCCAGCCCGCTCTAGCCCGTGCATCCGATTTCAAGGCTTGTAAATAAGCTCAAAAGGTTTCTCTCCTTCTCGATTTGGTTCGAAGTAGGTACTGTAGTAGGTAGGTTCCTGATGGGCAATCCATCGTGTCGGCTACCACGGACTACAAAATCGACATTCACCGAAACAGAGCGAAATCAGATACTTACTGTAAATGCCAAACCCCCAGCCTCTGTGATGGCCTGAATATCCCTGTCTGAACATGCATACAACAAAGGCTAATTCAGGCATGTAGCAACGGCGCCGCACGATAGCAATATTGTTAAACATCCAGCCACCACGGCAGCCGTTCATCACTCCCCTCCAGCCAAAATAGTCAGCAGACAGACAGACAGACAGACAGACAGACAGAAAGCAACTAAGTAAGCAGGGAGGTAGACGTGCTGTTTCTCACCGCATCAAAAGCTAAACCAAAATAACTACTACTCTAGGTACCTGATGATATGGGACACGATCTGAGGAGCTCTATTGGCAAAAAGAAACCGTAATTGACACTTTATACTTACGCTGACACCGAGACCGCGACACCGCGACACAGTCGTATGTACAGCCTGCAATAATCATCTCTATTTATCTATACTCCGTGCTTGTTCAGAATATCCGGCTTGCTTCGAAGGCATCGATAATAGCTCCAGCTAGTCAGTCGGTCGGTCGATCGGTCCGTATGGTGTGCGTGTGGAAATCACTCCCGCTTCATGCTTAGCGAGGGAAGGTTGATGAATACTCACTCCATGCTGCTGGGCACCGAGCTGACATTCGACCGCCAAGGATGATGCTGTTCGTAGAAACCGTGCAACAGCAAGAGCAAGAGCAAGAGCAAGAGCAACAGCAAGAGCAAGAGCAAGTCCGACTTGCCAAGTGGACACCAGCGTAACATGCCTCGTCTGCAGCTTCTCCAGCTCTTCGTCGCGACTTGTGGGCTCGCAGTAGCAGCGCGAGGTGTCAAGGGAATTACCCTCTGCTCGCCGACTACGCTGCCCTTGTCATGTCTTATCTCGTCGGATAAGTAGGTGAATTCTTCGCTTTGTGCAGTATAAGGCAATGTAACGCGATCGAGGGCTCTTCATTTCTTGACTACATACATCGTGGTTCAGGATGCAGGTCAGCAGTACCAAACCCCGCCACTATATGTACTGTCTGTGTTGCTGTCAACGTGGCAACTGCAAGAAAAATAGACCCGCGACCGTTGATCCGACCTGAAGCCTAGCAAGCTCCCCTGTCGTATCATACCTTCCCTCCATCCATAGCACGTGTGTGTTCTCGCATAACGCATGAGCAAGATTAGAAGAAAGAGATCAAATTTCATGGCCGACCAAGATTTTCAGAACCGTCCGTGCCATTATTTTGCCTTTGGTGCTGTACAAACCCCCGCCCCTGCTCCCGAAGGTTTATGTACAAAGGTAAACGCAGGATGATGGCATCGACGATGTGATGCGCTGGAAGTCGGAAAAGCGTAGCCTGTTTCATGATGGCTAAACTCTCTTAGTGATAGAGATGATACCTCTAACAACACTCTAACAGACCGTTGCAAGAAAAAACTGGGAGGTGAAGGTTCATAATCTGGAGGATGAGTGTTGGCAGCATGGATCTTGGTCCGCCAAAGTTGACACGATTCAACTTCGCTGCATTCCAGGTTGCATCGGTGCACCGTTGGGCAAGGCCATGCCGTAAGGGTTGACGTGCTGATTGCCGAAGGCGTTGGGGTCTTGGATGCCGCCGAGGAATTGGGCAACGCCTTGTGCATGGCCGACGGGACAGTCTTTATGACCCAGGAGCAACGTGCGGAGGTTCCGGATTTCGTCGTGAAGCTGGGCAACCTGTGTGTTGAGACTGTCATTCTCCGCCGAGTACATTTCCACTTTGGCTTGGAGATTAGCCAGCCATTGTTTCTTTCTCTGGCGACATTTCAGCGCAGCAACACTAGAGAGAGGTCAGATGATGAGTAAGAGGCAGCGTGGACGCGGACTTACCGATTACGCTCGAGGAAGTTCCTCCGCTTCTCTTCGTCAGTCATCTTCTTGCCGTTGGGATGGGTCGTCGGCTTATCATTATCTTCACCCTCTTCGCTGTCGTCGTCATCATCGTCGTCATCGTGAGGTTCAAGGGCTGGGTCGACAATAGCAGCCCCAGAGTTACCCTTGGACCGCTTATTACTGCCTTTCGCGCTAGCTTCTGACTTTCTTCGATTGTTCGTCGACTCGGTTTTGGTGGCTGCTTTCTTACTCCGGCCACCACGAGTCGTGGGTTTGCTTTCCTCGTGGCTCTCAGGGCTTTCACCTGGATCCGTGCCGTTCCGTTTCGGGTCTGGCACGTTCTGCACCGGGACTTGATTGGGGACGGCAAATTGGTTGTTGGTCTGTCCTCCCTTTGCCAGCATGAACAAGCCGTTAGCAGCGTCGGTGGCGTCATGAGCAGCGTCCATGTTGTTACTCGAATTGTCTTGGGGGTTGGAAGTATTGGCGAATTGGTTATTCTTGTTTCTTGCTGCGGCGTTCATGGCCGTGCGGTGAAAGTCAAGTGTACCCGGGGTCGCGCCACCACTTTGTAGTGAGTTGAAGAGTGCTTGGGAGTTTGGGCTGGGGGCTGGGAACATTGACACGCCACCGCCAGGAGTCAAGCCAGTCCGGAGGGATGACTCGTTGGGTGTAGGGAAGCCACGGCCGATACTGTCAAAGTAATCGCCTTGCTGCGGACCAGCCAACATAGCAGGGCTCAAAGGCCCGGACCGAAGTGAACTTTGCCAATTGTAGCCTCCAGTTGAGCTGGTGCCAGGGATGGCAGGTGAGGTGAGCGCCGCAACAGGGGGCAGCAGGTTCTTACCCGGCGTCTCTGTCGAGGGCGCACCGAATGATTGTTCAAAGGGATTGAATTCTTGCCCAATGCCGCTTCCGTTGTTGTGTAAAGCTGAGAAATAATCAGGTGTCTCTGCTTGGGTGGTGGGCGCAGGTCGCGGTGGTGGTGCGAGAGGCTCAGACGCTTGAACGACAGGCTTGGGTTCTTCGGCCAGCGATGATTGTTGGATCTCTGTTGTTGCATTAGCGATGCACGCGAGGACTTGATGACAGGCGCCGACGCGTACCTGGTAGTGATGATTTCGTCTGCAACGGTGAGGATTTGGCAACTACGGGCGCAAGATACTAGTCAGCTATGATGCCTGCAATGCGCGACTGAGCGCAATGTCGACGCATGAATGATTTCACATTGCGCAATTGATGATATTTGATGATGGTGTTGTCGCTGGTGGTCGAGAGTGCTGGCAGAAATTTTACAAATAGGGGTGGCGAGGTGCACTAACCTTCTTGCTTCAATGTGGCTTTCTTATTGTCCATAGGCGACGAGGTGCGAGAAGTTGGGCCAGCCCCAAGGTGTTGTTGCGATGGTTGAGTTGCGACTGCGGCGCTCGCCATATTGTCGGGTGTGATGAAGCAATACGTAGATGGAGGAAACAACGTCAGCCGTTGCAGAAGTGACGTCGATAGAGCTGGGAAGGCGCTGGCGCCTCATATATTTTGGAGGTAGGGCAGGCGAAGAGCGCAGGCTTGGGGGGAGCGCGAGGTAGCAAGGTTGGCTTCGTCCGAGCGGGCAGGGAAATGTGGGTTCGGGGGCAAGCCTGCGAATCAGAGCGCTGTCAGCAGGAGAGTCGGCACTCGATGGCGATCGCCCACTGTCGAGCCCATCAGCATTCAGGAAATCGTTTTCGCTTGCCACTCAGGTCGACCCGCCCACTGCCAAAACTCGATCGAAAGCCAGGCGGGAATTGGGTCCGGGCTCACGACAATTCCTGGGAATCTGGCAGTCCTTACCCAGTCCAGCTTCTTGACAAGCCCGCTGTCGAACACTAGACAGTACCGGTACGGAATGCTGACCCCAGGAGAAGAGTTCTGAAATTCGCGATACAGCAGCGATGGATGGCGAGCTAGAATCGGGGGCGATGGCAGGAGGCAGATGATGACGTGTGTCGTGGTTTGGGGTGTTACTGCCGATGAAACAACACCGCACCGCGGACGGAGCCAGGGGATGAAGGAAAATAGCAAAATGGGAGGGCGAGTCCCGTGATTGAATATTAACCGAGTATGGTACAAAGTGAAAGTACAACAACTTTCAGTGGTGATTTGACCAGCGTGTCGGTGACGGTGGCTTTTTCGAGAGGCTCAACCTAAGGAGAGAGCAGAGTGTGGATGGGAAAGTTCGAAGAGGGTGAACAAAGATCAATGACCTCAGCCCGCAGAGCAGTACAAAAAGGACGCCCAAGCCCGTATCAGCGGAGCAGAGTTGCTGGCGATTCTGCGACCGTCGAAGGGAAGACGGGTGGGATGCTGGGGCCAATCTGATTTCTCGCCAGCCTTTCATCACGTCATCGCCAACGGGAAATGCATCGACACTTGCGCCTTACCCGACTT